CACGACCACTGCACAAATGCAACGAGCATTTTATCCCACGGGGGCAGTGCACCCCACAGCTCTCTACAGCCTCCCCGAGAGCACCATTCATATGGAGCAAAAACAAAGCTACCCTTTCTACACCGCGTGAAACCATAAATGCAAAACATTTTTTTCTTTCTATTGAAGAGGACCTTTCCAGGTCAACCTACTTATATTTTTTAAAGAGAGTGAGAGAGAGCTTTCACCTAATATAGATTAAAACATATTTAATGTAATTTCATTGTGCAGACAATCTTTGTGTCGTAATTTCATTTTAAATAAATTACGTATTTATTAATTAGAGATATAAAATTCTGTTATTGTTCCAAATAACTTTGAAACCAAATTTCACTTTAAGGCGTTTCAGATCTTTATTAACAATTTACAAATTGTTCTGTGGTTTTCCTTTACAGTCAATTTAATTAATAAATTCAAGGAAATTAAATTAGCTAATTTTGTAAGAAGGTATGTACGAGGAAAATGGGAACGTTGAAAGAACTTAGAGAATAGTTGAGTGGTGTACATTTATATTTCAAATTAAAATTTATATGGAGAGAAGTTTGGTTTGTAAAAAAATATGAATCCCTGCGGAGCGCATGCCGCAGGCTCGGAAAACTATTGAGGGGAAAACGAAGTGGCAACCAACCTGAGCTGGATAGTCCCTAGGGCTGCTACAAACGACCTCGATATTAATATCAGTTTTGTTGAAACAAAGCCTTGGTAAATTGCTTATTCGGAAACACTTCTGTCGAACGAAGATCACTTCTGTTCTTTCCCAGAGGAATAGAAAATATCGTTATTATTGGGTACCTATCTATGTAATAGGTAGGTACTTAGACAATAGTTACGAGATCTATCGTTAATAATATTTGTATGTTTTAACTTAGCATTTTTAAAAAGAACGATCGCAAAACTATGCTTATTTTGCGTACCTAACGGTTATAATTTGTAAAGCCCTTTTCGAAATCGATTAATAGGTAAATCATTCAAATGAATGTCAACAATAATAAACAAATAGTTTTCAAATTTTAAGACGCCCGCTTCTCATGCATGAAGGTGCGGGTTCGGAACCTACCAACGGCAGGTACCTATGTGACTTTTTCCGAGTTATATGTAGGTACCTACTTTCTAAGATTATTCTGACACCACTGACAAACGGTGAAGGTAAACATCGTGAGGAAACCTGAGCTTATAATTTCTAATTATAAGTTTCAAATCAAGCAAGCGTGGTGATTTAAGCTCAAACCTCCTCCGTGTGAGAAGAGGCTTCGCTTAGCAGTGGGCATTATAGGCTGTTAATGTGTGTTCTCAAATAGTAGTCAAGTACTACTACTACTTACTTAGTACCTACCTATATGAGACCAATTCTTTTATGGAATAGGAGGCAAACGAGCAGACGGATCACCTGATGGTAAGCGATCAGCGCCACCCATAATTTCGATGCAGCATTAATTTACATTAATATTAAATTTCGAATTAGTTAAAAATTCTGAGTAACACAAAACCGACTTCATTTAGTAAAAAAATGTAAAACGTCACTGGTAGGGTACAGGTGCAGCCCCCTGAACTATTTCAATTCATCATCCTCACAACTCGGTTAAACCAAGGAAACGTTTCAATTGAAGTTATTCCCGGCGTAAGCTTAAAAATTCCCTCTAATTAAAATTGTCAACTAGGTCACAGTTATAAAGAATCTATTGAAATGTATGAAGCTACCTGACAGCCATGTGGTAACAAAGCGAATGTGGCACTGCCGTATTTATTTGTTTATCCAATTGTATGTGAACAATTATTATATCATAGGTATCTAATGAATAAAATAATTGTTTGGTTCAGCAGGGGCGTAGTTACCGCCGTATCTAATTATATGGGGCCCCCAATATAATTAATTGTGTAAACAGATATATAAAAATGTCTTAATTTATATTTTAGTGTATAGAGAAATCTATTCCATGGTCAGAAACTTTGGAAAAAGTAAAGTAATCATTGTCCAATAATTTGGGCAGAGGGAACTCCCTCCCTTACCCTAAAAGCTTTCCGGTTTTAACACAAATTATTAGCATGTTATGTAAAAAAATCTTGTGAGAAATTTTTACCATTCATAAGGGCCCCCAAAGATAGCGTGTCTACGCTACGCCACTGGTTATAAGGGTAGATTTTATTTATCACCTACGTTATTTAATTTGTTTATTAATTGCCTTATCGGAATTTATACATTCTAGGATATAATTATGTCGCAGTCAACTAGTTTAATTAGCCATTAAATTAACTGCCTAGCAGCTAGGCTACGCTAGGCTTAGGCCCTAGCCAGTTTATTAACTGACATCTTTTTAACAATCTTGGTAGCAGTTTGTTTATGATGGTGATAATATATTATGACTAGTCATTCATGCCGTCGCGGAGAACCTAACGGGTAACCGGGGCTCCGGCTCGACGTGCAGGAGAAAGAACGGGGTGGTTTTTAGTCAGTAAGAGCCTGACACTCCCTCCTGCCTCACCGAGGCGGGAGCAGTCATTCGATGATTATCCCCCCTAAAAAAAAGTCACACATGCCATTAAATAGGTCATGTTATTGATAGTTTAAGTTTATTGGTTGGATCAATTAAGTTGATAAAAAAATAAATCAAAACATAAAATCTCCTATTTTTTACTTCCTTACCCACCTGAAATACTGACACAAGCTTTGGATTAATCATAGTAGTTATTTAATAACTAACAAGAAGGAATCACCTAAAGACATTAACTTCATTAGAACGAGTTCAAGAACAACAAGCGCCTTTAATTACAAGTATTGGCGGCGGTTATCCCTCTTTCGCATTATCAATAATAACGACATCTATACTGGAGCTTTTCAGTAGGCATAGAAGTATAGACATCAATTCACTTAACAGAAAAAGCTTTTCCTTAGCTTTTGTAACAGTCATTAACCCTTGAAGCTAAGTAAGAACAAGACAGATGGCACTGTATCCCAAATTATAAGTGTGGGAGAGCCATGCTTCGGCACGAATGGGCCGGCTCGACCGGAGTGATACCACGGCCTCACAGAATACCGACGTGAAACAACGCTTGCGTTGTGTTTCGTCGTGTGAGTGAGGTTACCGGAGGCCCAATTACCTTCCCCTTCCTCAATCTCCCCAATCCCTGAATCCCCAACGAACCTCAAACTCCTAATCCCCAAAAAGCCGGTGACGCACTTGTAACGCCTCTGGTGTTCCAGGTGTCCATGGGCGACGCCGATTGCTTAACATCAGGTGATCCGTCTGCTCGTTTACCGGCTTATGCCATAAAAAAAAAAAAAAAAAAATGCAATCGCAACGACCTCTGTTGGAATATGACAGAGTTAGCTCGGAGACGATAGAGGATACTTCCTAGTTAATTTCTCAACCCTAACCACGTTTCATGTCGCGGAGAACCTAACGGGTAACCGGGGCTCCGGCTCGACGTGCAGGAGAAACGGGGTGGTTTTTAGTCAGTAAAAGTCTGACACTCCCTCCCGCCTCACCCAGGCGGGAGCAGTCATTCGATGATTGTACCCCCTTAAAAAAAAAACCGTTTCATAATTCTGAAACCTTCTGAACAATCCGTTTTAGTTTCATAAAGAAGTAAGCACGTGTACGATCGTCAAGTCTTTGTTTCAAGAGGCCGGTTAATCAGTCCTTCTAGGTTAGTAAGTAGGTATCTCTTTCTCTCTTTGGAATAGGCTTAGGTGAGTTAGAAGTAATGATCATAGTCTAAGCCATGAAATCCACCACTACTTAAAAAAAAATCAGTAAATGTGATGAAATTGAATAATGAAAAGTAAGTGGAAGGTCGCCAAGGACATACAATGTGTTAGCAAAATCGCGGACATGACGACGGCATGACATGGAATAACGTGGAGTGAGATGAAGCTAAATAAAGCAAATCGCGATGGAGGATTTCATGCCTTTGCCCCATCTGAATATGAAACAAGTCAATGCTGCCTTATAGGTATTAAAAACAGAGTTTCGAAATGGTTGAAATTTTGGCAACATTGTCTTCTCTTGTCAATTAAAACATCACGCCTTTTATTACAACAGGTAGGCAGAGAGTCGTCGATTATAATTTGAGTCCCAAAATAATACGAGGCATTCTAGACTTCGTGCTGTAACTAAAACTTCGTATTAGGTAACTCAATTCCTTCAACTTTTCGAGGCCTTGTTCGTGAACATAGATATTAAATATTTGCTTACTACATTTTCCTATAGGCTATTTTATGCCTTTGAAAATACGAGAGAAAGAGGAAACTATTCATTTTTGCTTTTCTCCATGATCTCATCCTCATGATTTGTGCAGAATCGTTATCGTTAGAACACATGGCCAAGATTGCAAAGTGCAGCCTAAACGACCTGTGGGGTTTACTCTTGAATCTAATTCCGATCGATCGACATTGACACTGAAATTTCGTACTCTTGAGCGCCCATAGCATCCGTATTGCGTGGATATTCAATGAACTAAACGGTATTGAGTTTTGCTTCATATTCCGTAGTACTTATACTCATCTATGTATTCCGTACTCTGAATGCTACTTTAACAGCTACGATATGGGTTGTATAGTTTTGACAATGAATAATTATTGAGATTGCATTGACATTGAGATTAGTTTCAAGAGTTAGCACCCAGATCGTACTCATTGCAAATTATACGTCAGTTGGTCTTGACTAGCTTGGTTGAAATGCGACCCGTTGGTTGTTGAGGCTAAGTGCGTGACGTTTACATTTTTACAAATGGATATGATTTAATAGTTGATGTGATTTATAAACGTCATGATATCAATAAATGGACTTTCCATTTATTCTACCATCATCAGTGAACCTTGGTTGAAACACAACTGTTTATACATTCATGTATAGTTGATATGGCGTTTATTACAATAGTACAGTATTCATACTTAAAGTTGACTACACAAATGCAGCAGATAATGACACGCACATACACTTACTCTAAATAAAAGTCATGTGTAATATTTTTAACTTTTTTAATAGGGATAACTTATATAATATGCAAGGGATAGTCCCAAGGATTCCTCTTTAGTGATAAAAGGATAAAACCATTCACAAATGGAGAATCACAATTTATCACCTGCTCAATAAATACAGTCAACAGTAAGCATAATCTTAAACAATTTATCTGTAAATGATATTTAGTCATTTTACAACTCTGGATATTAACTGACAAAGTTTCAAAACTAAAAAGTACGTCTACGAGAGTCGAACGACACCGGGCACGGGCGCCCGCGCCGGCCCCGCGCGTGGCGACGCGACAGTCCGACTACACTATATACAGGTCACTGCGCCGCCGGCTGGCGAGGGCGGCGGCGGCGCGGCTAGGACGACGAGCCCGCGCCGAACATGTTGGAGCTGAAGGCCGCCGCCTGCACCGCCGCGCCGCCCGCCACGCCCGCGCCGCCCGCGCTGCCGCCGCCCGCGCCCCCGGCGCCGCGCGACTTGGGCATGGGGGGCTGCAGGTACTCGTGCCGCGCCAGACCGAACACGTCGATGCGCTCCTCCTTGCGGTACGCCAGGCACGCCCGGATGAAGCTCTGCAACGACCAAACATTATGCATGAGTAAAACATTATAACACCATTCATAGCTGCTGTTACAGCAACAATATCGAGTAGTAAAAACATTCAAAATGTTATTCACTCACCTTAGCCTCATTGCTGACCGTAGGTTTGTTAGCAAACTGCACCTCGGTCGCCTTTAGTATTGTGTTCTCCTCCAGTATGGTGGCCTGGCTTTGGTTGTGTCCGAACGGCTTCTTGCCATATAGACACTGGTAGAAGATTACTCCCACACTCCAAACGTCCACCTTGCTACTGATCTTTGGTGGGTTTTTACCGACAACGAAGCATTCAGGCGGCAGGTACCTATAAAACAGGAGGATTGTTATTAGGATTTGCTTTTTATTGTTAAAATCCATATTATACTGGAGTATAATGCTGATTTTACTGGGACTCTAGGGTCCACCCTAGAGTGTCAAAACATTGCTAGTTTAATAAAAAATAAATAGAGAGAACTAATACAAACAAACAAGCAAACAACCAACTTACCAATAAGTGCCTGCTCCCTGGCTCGTTAAGTCCATCCCATGATCGGGATTGTAATTCTCTTCGTCCATCACTTTGGACAGGCCGAAGTCAGTGATCTTGATCTCGCCGCAGACGTTACCCTCTGTGAGGAGGATGTTGCCCGGCTTCAAGTCATAGTGGATCACTGGGGGCTTGATCTCGTTTAAATACTTCAACGCTGACACAACTTGCATCACGATAGAGCGAGCCTCGCGCTCCGGAATTGTCTTGTGCTGGAATTAAATAGATGAATTATTAGAATTAATGCTGAAAATGGTTGTCATAATTTAAATCAGTAACACAGCAAGACGTAGACGATTTGGACTTTTCCCAGAGCCTCACTGTGAAAGACTTACGAGGTATGAACAAAGTCTTAATCTCAATACTAATAATTTATAGCAGCACTTACCACTACTGCAGTGTGTGTCAGCCGCACCATTCAAAGTGCGAAAAGGAACTACAGTGATATAACATAATGCTATTATATCACAACTAATTTGAAGAGACAAGTAGAGATGCATACTGCATATCACACACTTTCCAACTTATTCGTACAATAAGAGGCGAGCCCAAACAATTACCTTTCATGCATCATATAGCTGCATTGTTGCAGTGAACATTATGAATCATTAAACACGATAACCAAAGAAAAACAATAAACTTCAACTCACCTGTTTGAGATAAAAATCGAGATCATGTCCATTACAGTACTCAAGCACTGTACAAAACGAGTTGCCGTCAATTTCAAATACGTCATATAATTTTACAATTCGAGGGTGGTCTAATGCTTTGTGAATGTTGTACTCCCTCAATGCGTGTCTGTAACAAAATAGATTCAAACTGAGTAAAATATAAACTGAGTAATATATAAACATATAAAAAGGTTTGAAATACATATTTAGGATTTTTTACATCAACTGTTTATGAGCATAATCATTCTGATTTAAAAAATATTGCCTCAAGTACGATTCTCCCTTTGGTTTATTTAGTCATGACTTTAAAAAAACTGTGATTGAATTTGTTTCAGTGTTTATTCTCATATTGCAATAAAAGCTTCCTTTTGCTCAAGTTTTAAATATTAACATGTAAAACTACTTGCGTACGTAGACTATTTATTTACACAAACAGATATCATTACATAAATTAAGTCTAAAAATAATAAGTTAATGAAAGTAAGTGATGTTTGCCATCGTACACAGACTCACTTGATATAGTTGGCCTTCTTATCTTCCTTCCAGTCTTTGTTGAGTTGATGCACCTTGCACGCAGTATATCGTTGCTCTCGTAGGTCAAATGCCTTATGGACTTCACTGAAGCCACCTTTGCCGAGCAACATCAACAGCAGGTACCTGGTAAATTGATAATGGAGATGTTAGATACAAGTGGCTGATTGCCTCATTGGTTGAGTCGACAAGCGCGATTACAGAGAAGGTATCTCTCAATTATGGGGGTTATTTTGCAGTTTTTCGAAAATTTGCGTAAGAGCTGTAAAAAAATAAAAAGTGAGCTGTAAATAAAAAGTGTGATAAAGATCACACTTTTTATTATATTAAACAAAGGTTATGTGATTTTTTTTTTCATTCCACAACTTGTTCCAACATTAAGCGCCGGTATATAAGTGCCTGATAGACGTATGTGACAGATAGTTCATACAAATTACGTTCTTCATTCAAATTTATCTGGTAGATAACGGCTATCCAGATATTGTGAAACAGGCCCTAAGAATCGAATAAAAAAGTTAATGAAGTGAAATTGAATTGGCAGTTGACATAACATTACACCTGCAAGACAAAGCTATAACCATATACTCAGAACATAGAACAAATAATCAGAATTAGCTACTTGTCACATTCTTATGAAGAGGAAGTAATTAACTACACTATTCGTCATCTATTGATAGCTAATTACATGTAGTTAATCATTAAAATTAAGATAAGTCAATTGATAAAATATTTTTAGAATTTTAGTGAATGCTTTTGCAAAAAGTTTTAAAATGTAACAATATTTGCAAGAACATATTAAATTAGATCAGGGTTTCATGTTATCACGTTATCTACTTTCGAAACGTTTTATCTTAAAATATTGTATGTGAATATTTGCTTTCAGATTTCCTGGTGTTTTTATAGCAAATCTGTAATGTCTGCCGAATATTGCGCACTAATACAAAATACAACATTTATAAGTCTTATGTATTAATGTATGGATCTATAAGACTTATTTATTTAAATAGCATAGCATCACGCCTATTATCCCCGTAGGGGTAGGCAGAGGTGCACATTACGGCACTTAATGCCGCTGTACAATGAAACACCAATTTTTCACTATTTATGTTAAGTCCCATGTAATAGGGGGTGAGCCTATTGTCGTATACCGGGCACAATTCCAGACTCCGTGCTATTTCTGAAAATTTTAATTTTTTAAACTCAGTAACATTTTGCCCGAGCCGTGAATCGAACCCGAGACCCCTTGCCCGGCAGTCGCACATGCGCCCACGACGCAGTCAATTATTATTATTTAAGAAGAATATTAATAATATTAACAGACAGCAATGTCTTTATCAATAAGAGAGTTTGTCTATTTCCATCTCCATGCTTGGAGATCGCAGTTCAAAAGGTTAAGGATTATGAATATTGCTACACGGTTTCAGTTTAAATCACCCATGAGAAAAATAGGAGCAGTAAATGTATTCAACTGTACCATAACCAAACCAAATTTCTACCTATGCGTCTTTAAGTGATATTATACTAAAGACAATAAATAAAGATGTTACTTGTAGAATTTATTGTGCTATCGTGTTCGCGTCCTCTTTTTATCAAACTGTACATAGTTACGTAAATACGAAAAGACTACACTTATTTTAGCCGAGTTGCTAGGTTCATGTTATCATGGATCATGATAACATGAACTGGATCAGCAATGGACAAGACACAATTTTTCCTTGATGAAAAAGGCAGTTACTGTTTTTTAGTTACTTTTGGCACAATACTGTTTATTTCTTCTTGATGTTAACTTTAATGTCTCTCCTAAGCATGTAGTCCCGATAAACGAAGTTTTCTTTCTTATACATATCACATTTTCACTTAGAAAAAGGCGACTGTAATTAGGTTAAGTAGCTAATATTAAGTAACTTAGTAAGTTAGGTTATGGGCAGGAAGGAAATCAATTCTTGTTTAGTTGTGAAATGATCTCATAACAGAACATAATTTGGAACACAGCCAACATCCTAGAAATATCTAAAATATTTCTATTACTAAGTGTAAGTGAACTCACCGATCAGAGAGCACAGGATGCTGTGAGAAACGGCTCTGATCTTCATTGTGTATTCGCTTCAATTCCCTAATATGAAGATTTCTTTCTCGTTCTAACTTTTCCATTTCTAGCTGCAAGTCCGCATCTTCCTTTTTAAGTGCACTCTGTCTCAACTGTAATGAGAATAAAAACATTCGTTATTTATTTATGTACACTATAGTATGTTGCAATTACCTATTTTTATACAGGGCACATAGCAATTGGCGTTCCATAGTCTCTGGCTACACCCATGGGAGACAAGCGTACGGTTTTGTATGTATGTAGGACGATGTTATAATACAATGAGACATATAGGTGTTTAATAAAACTGCTTTACTTTTTTTCCAATAAAAAGTAAACATCAGAACTGGGCCTTGACATTTTGATTTCCAATAACCAGTAATTTTGTAGCATTTCCTAAATTACTCGTTTTACTTTATAACCAGATATTAAACACTTATTTATTATTCTTTACTAAATCACACTTATTCTTTCATGGATACAAAAGTACTGAGTTTTTCAACATTGATATTAATATGGAACTTCAAACATCAACATATTGTATATCATACAAGACCTATAACTGTTACAATTGAATAATTTCGGTATAACGGTCACTGAATACAATCCAGAGCTGCAGAAATTTTCCACACATACATGTAAACAAATGTGTCATGAATAATTGTTTTTGTTAAATAAACTATGCTACATTAGATAGGAATGGAAGGATAATTATTCATCACTATCATCATCATCTTATAGATGCCCATGGCTGAGTGAAAGCCTTCTAGTATTAAGAAGATTTGAGCATTAATCACCAAACTTGTCAAAGCACACTGTTAATTTGACACTTATTGACAAGTCAAGGTTTCCGTATAATGTTTTCCTTCACCATATTATGCCACTGGTCTTACTGGTCTTAAATAATCTTAGAAAGTATATATAATGATAGCATACCTTTAATATTTCATCAGCTTCATAATACTCCTGATAGGTCATGCTGGGTAGCGGGTCTGGTTTGAGGAAGGTGGGTGCATCCGTGCCGTTGTGTAGCGGTGACGGCTGGGGCGTGCTGGGCGCGGCGCTGGACGCTCGCTTGCCTCGACCACCACCGCCCTCATTGTTCACTGGCCTCTTTTTAAATAACAACTTTTTCTGACGATCTATTTCTTCTTTTTCTGCTGTTATTTCTTCTTGCCGCCTGAGGAAAGGTTAACAAGTAATATAAGAGATAGTAGTTACATTTCTATTGATATTATAAAAAAACAATACATTCGTATTTGCAATTTATTGGGACTAGCAGAGAATGCCCACTTTTTAAGTGTATTCCCCGGCAAAAAGTTGTTCATACAGCAATTACACACAATTGATTGAAAACAGTTAAAAAGTTAAAGGGAAATACTGTATGAGTCAATCAACACACCTTGTTAATTCTTGAAATGCGTATCCATCAGTCCAATTCTCTTGAAACGTGGCGCCAACGCGCTGCGTCACAAACTGGCCAAGCCTCAGTCTATTCTGCATGCACCGCTGCCTAGCCTCTTTCTTCTCAATTGTGCTTTTCTCATTTAACAATTTCTTTACAACTTCTATACATTTATTGATGTGTGATTTATGTTGATCTATTACCTGAAACAACATTATCAATAATTAATTAGGGTCATTTAAAATTTACACTTGTGTAGGTATAAATAAAGTATAAAATCTCTATGTTACCTTGCTCTGTGCTTGCACTTGATGTTTCAATTCTTCATTAGATCTTGTTAATTCATCTATTTTATTATTTCTTACTTCTAAGTCAGAAGACGCTTGAGTTTCTAACTCCTGTATCCTCTGGCATGTCAGTTCTGTTTGAACCTGTGAACAGTAACATCAACCATGAACAATACAGTAATAAAGAATAAAAATATTGATAGTAAAATGTAATGGATTAAGTTTACCTGTTTTACAGATGTGTGGGGTCGTTGCTGAGATGCCGAACGTAAAAAATCGGCACCGGGAGGCATTATCGACGAGGGTGACGGTGGGTACTGAACAGAAAATTATTATTAGCTTGCATGTCATTATAGACACAGCTGCCATCATATCAAACAAAATATATAAGCGCAAATACATTCAACTTCAAATTTCAAACTGACCACAGTATTTGATAATAAAAACTGATTTATGCACACAGATACATTATTTTCAATTAAGGAAAGCAAGTTGAGTCTTGCCTTCAATGAGTCGTATAATGTGATCACTTGTAAACATGATTATAAACTTTAGTGAATGTATTAATAACATCTCGCATTTTTTCATTGGTGCATCAATATGGAGTGGAGAGGCCATTTTATGTAGTTTTTACCTATGACAGATGTGCAGACATTATTTGAATGGGTATTTCATATTCTTCACTTTAAACAAAGCTTAATTCATTGTGATATAATTAATATACTCATTGCATTATTATAGTTGGCATATTTGCTCATGTTTGGATAGGTAGATATGTTATTTTAAAATAGTGCAATTTTACTAACCATAGGATAATTCGCGCCCTGCGGGGATGGCGACTTGGCACCGGCATGCCTTACAGGACTCGAAGAGGGGTGTTTCGAGAAATATTCCCTAAAATTTTTGTCAGATGAATTGTGCCTTTGTTTACCGCCGCCGCCCCCGCCGCCGCCTACGCCTTCTTCTCCTGGAAATATAACACAAATCATTATTATAACACTTAGCATATTATTATTATTATACAGCACTAAGCTACTTAGACATCAAACATTATATGATTTTTAAACACAGAGTAAATTTTTTACGACATAACAAAAGGCATTATTAAAATACCCAATAATAACTCTTTTAAAATTCATTATGAAGTCACCAGTTTAAAACTTTTGGTAGATAATAATAAACATTTAAAGAAAAACATCTCAGTATCACCCTGAGATGAATTTAATATAAGAACCAAACATCTACCTTTAACATAATTATTTTTAAGTATTAAACTGTCAAACACCAAGCGGTCACCGGTGACCGCAACCTATTGTTCTATAATTGTGTCTACAAAACCGGTACTCGACGAGTTAATTAGCCCTGTGCAATAGGGGTCAAGCCTATTGTCACACAACAAGTTCATATCCAGATTGTCAGTTTAAAACTTTACCCAGTTGAAAGCACTGATTGTAATTAATAATTTAGATATTTACCTTTCCGTTTCCTTTTTCTTTCTGGCATGGCTATAGTAGGTGTGGCACCACTCGGGGGTACTAACGCAGTGCCTGGAGCAGCAGTGGAGCCTCGCATAGCGGCAGACTTTTCCGGAGTTAAAGCGTCAACTTCTTTATCACTATGAGATGACCCTGAAAGTAGTTATATCTTTGATTATTCTTAATAAGTATAATTTATAAGTTATTTATATAGAAAAAGCCAACAAAGAACCTTGAGAGGAGACTTGCACTAAATGGTGAGCAATCAATTATACCTAAGTGCCAGTAAGTGTTTTTAGTACAACAGTATACTTGACTTTACTAGTTTATACTCATTCTCATAGCATTTACACCGTAAATGTAATTTTTTGTGTACTCCGCTATTAGAGATATATTTTCCTTTCATGTTTTGTCTGGATAGATTAATACTTTGCGTGTCACAAAATAGACCCAAAATAGTTGTTGTCTAATGCTTAGTTTCACTGAAACAACAGCAGCATGCATAAACACTTACAAGCCGACACACAAAACACATTTACAAAGCATTTTGAAAGCAAAATCTTATATGTTTTACTGTTTGTCTAAATTATTGTTTATGTTTATGTTACACTGTTAAGGCAATTAGCCACAGAACTAATGTTTTATTACAAAAATTAGACCAGTAATTCATATGTGATCAAACTTTGTAAATAGTAATGTGAGTAATTAGGTTTACTATAAACAGGGCTTATTACACCGAATAAGACATATGGATCAACAAGTAAATACTACAACAGAACTACAAATTAACACGTCAATTAAATCATGAGTAGTTAACTCACTTTTTGACAAGGAGCTCAGTAGGCCGACGTGGTTTATGTTAGCTCCACTTTTATAGTCATGCATTGTGGCACGCTATAGTCTCGGTTGACGAGAAGAAAAACGGCACTTTCACGGTTCCTATCCGGCATCATACACGATAATGACGTCACAATCCTTCGTTTGATGACAGTTTTTCACACACAAGTAGTGTTCGTCCCTCAAGAGTTTGTAAGAAAAGGTTAACCTTTGACGGCAAGCCGGCGTGAAGTAAACACTGAGAGCACTGATCACAAACCACAAACATTTAGTCCACTTTTATCACTAAATCACAAATTACCTGTGCTCATATTGGAGTCCTGATTGTGTAGAGGTTGCCCCGTGTTGACAGTGGTTTGTGGTGCCATCTGAATTTGTGACCCAGCTGACATCTGTAAAGAAAGATGGCGTCTTTACATATGACTCGCCCAGTTTCATTCGTTATTACTCTTGCTCTCACTTGATTTCAACAAAACACTAACACTACCTACAGTTACTAATTACGTGTAAGGTAATATATCCATATCAATTATTTTACTATTTCTCACTTCACTCAAATAACCTAACTAGTTTGACAAGTTGTAAACGAAATGCCAGTCGCGACAATCGGATACGCATCCGCGGGGAGCGCAAGGGGGGTGGAGAGGTAGAGATCGTCACGAAGTTTGCTTCGAATGTAATAATAATAATAACGACGGGCGAGGCGCCATTTTACAAGGATACAAGGCCAAAAGCATTGTTATTTCCAGTGAAAAATAACTGCCTGCAGTTGTGTGTTCATGTATCCACGAAGAAAATTAAGTTTAAGAACGAATACTTCTACTACCTCATAAGAAAAAATGTTGTGCGTTCACTCGCATTTGCACTGCGCTAGCTACAGGTCAACAGCCCGCGATTGCAATCGTGTTGTTGTTGACTAATTGGATTTTTGCACAAGACAATAATACTGAACAAGTGGTTACGATTTAATATTCAGATATTAAGTTATTTAGGTAAAGTAAATTAGATATTCACTTATAAATGAATCTAAGCAAGGGATATGAAATCCAGTTGACCGATTATTCCCGCAATGAGGTGGCGGTGGCGGTGGCGGCCGCGGCAGCGGGTGGCGGGCGGCGTGCCACCGACCGAACGAGTAGGTACGTGATATCGGCGCTCGTGCCCCACAACAAACTGCTTACTGGACGTGTTACGTAGGCGTCTGTGCCGACTGCCGCGATGTACCAACATATAAACACAGATAGGTCTACTATGTATCCACTTCAATGTGCGCACCTATAGGTAGCTACGTATTATATTATTCAACCAAGCTCTAAGCGCGATAAACTTGTGTGCCGTCGTAAAGCAGTGTTAGATAGATAAGCATACCTTTCTTGCTATGTACTTACTTGTGTATTTTAAAGCAAGTTTCATATTTTATCTTGATAATCAAAAACAAGCATTGATTCACGTAGATATATTTAAAATAAATAACTCCATTAGGAATTACTTCTTAGAGTTATGTTTACAGTCAGGGCTTCGTTTATGTCAGTAGTTCTAACTCGGTATATTTAATCAAGCAAAATTAATAGATTTTATAGCCCAACAGTTTGTGTGTTTACTAAATACAACTTTTATGCATAAATAAATTATTAATAATTTAACAAAATTGTAATCGAGAGACACTGTCCAGTGCAGTGCTAATTTAATTAGCCAATAAATAGTCACCAAACTAAGTAACCACTACTAATTTATGAATTAGCAGACGTAATGATATGACTTTCACTTTAACGGAAATAGTGATTTTTTTTATAAAGAATAAAGATATATTATTATTATTTTATTGACGTTTGGACTATGTGTGATTTTAAACTACGAATTATTTTAGATACCTACATTTTTGTATAGTCGTATTTTTTACTGATTTTTGGATCACATGGAAGGACTCTGCTGATTTTTCTGGCAGACTAGATCCCATGCAATGCTTCCGCTGTACCCAGTTTCTAGGCTGTTAAGGCTATTTTCCATCGTGTTCTAGGTGGTAAGGGCAATCAGTAATTTACGGAATGAAAGTATTACTACTAGGTATATTTTTCAACTTTAATTTTTCATAAAAAATAAACATTTTTGAGACTTATGTATATCAATAGAAGCTAAATGATAATGCTATCTTAACTATTTTCGCCCATATGATAGTCATGGATCCCTACTGAGATTATCATTATATTTTACAAGCTATTAGACAAGTTTTTATTTCTTTATTTTGTATTAAGTAAAATAACTAGCTGTTAGATTTATAGATAGATATAGGTAGGTTAAAATAAATAATGAATTCATCTTCCATCATGAATATGAATAGACACAATATTTACATTAGAAAGTAATAAGTGGTACATTCAATACACGATTCGTAATCTCACGCAGTAACAAACAGATTCAAACAATGATTGTTACTTGTGAGTGGGACATAGCCATTTTGAAATCATACAACGTGGCACTTTTACCGGGCCACAAGTAAAACACACCATTAAATGCCATAGGCATCAGGGTGTCAACATGACGGCACGACGGCAGTGCACAGTACCAGTAGAGACTTAGAGAGAGACACATAAAGTGTATTAGCATTATCGCGGTAACGTTGCCGTTCCGTATGTACTCCCTTCGGTGCCTCTTGCCCCTCCTCTCCCGTTCACAGCGACCACCTCCTGTATTAAGCTAGCAACAACAAAAGTCGCCTGCGAACGCAACGCATTTCGATTGGATCAAAACGATAAGGAAAATAAGGGACGACCACGTGACTTTGCTTCTAGTTAATAACACACATATAAGTTTCACCGATTGCTTTACTTACAAGGTTAAATGACGTCCGCGTTGTACAGATAAGAAAAATAATATAATCGAAAAACACAAAAATTGAGACGACAGTTAAGTTAAAAAAAACATAAGCATGCTTCACGGTCAAATGGCATAAGAGGTGTAACAATTTACGATACTATTAATTTTAACATCCTGCTTAATTAGCAAATCAAATCATTTGCTTGCAGTAAGTATACTTATTGTCGCTGTGTCTATTTTTAGAATACAAACTACAGTGCTCGGCAGTAAACGAATGGAAAGTTAGCGAGTTGGCAACCTGCGTGTAGGGGTAATGATTGTGTACAAAACTCAAACAAAGATACACAATCGGCACTGCATAATGTTAAGAAACGTAGAATTTATATAAGTGACAAAAATTAACAAAATCTGCCACGCATTGTCCACGACACTTACGTGGCGACAAGGTGTCAGAAACACATTTACAGATAACAGAAAGTGAAGCAACGTCATCACAATATGTATGTATAATTAGCTGCTTCCTCCTATACTGTTTATCGCCTTTTGGTACTGAATGCCTAATCGATCGTCTAATTTATTTCAGTAAAAATAACTACAACTAGCATCTAAAATTATTAAACGCAATTGAAGAAGACATCTGATTCTCTTCTAGCTTTAATACCCTTGATATGATTGAATGGTGTCCGCTTGTCGCGTTTATTTCGCTAATTAAAATATTATCTTATCGTAATTTGTGGAATAACATCGATTTTTGGCAAAAACGCCATACAACTAAGATCGTCAATTTAGTATAGGTACTCTTTCCGTTGTTTTCCTTTCTTTATCTTATAGAATAATTTTACATCATAAACACATTTTGGTGTCTATTATGAAAATAAAATTAAGTATTTGGTGAGTAATGGGTTCAGGTTTACGAAAATATGTCATATCTTTTAAATATTTTGCTTCTCTTTCCGCTAAGTCGAACTCCCAGTCCCATAGGAGACTTTATGAATTCTATCCATTTTACAAGCTCCTCCCTTCGTTTGTGAAATGGGAACTGTTGAAGTTCATGCGTACCTAATTTACTATAAGTAGTAAATTGGCTTTCGCTATAAATTATTCAATTTTTTTATTTCAGACAGTTTCAATGTTCTTATTTTTTTATATTAACAGAAAACTTACTGACAGTGAAGTAAATCAGCCAAAAAGATTTGTTGACAAACGAATCCCGAAAGCGTGTGGATAGTGACAGCGTGCATTAGCGTCGCACGAATACTGCGTCTCCAATGTGAAAGACAATCAATACTCCGTCACATCCCTGTCCCGCATTCATTGTAGAAGCGCAGTTCTGCGGACCCCAAAATCCCCTCTTCCGGTGCGGGCGTTCAGCCGCGTGCTGTTTAACCCAATTTTCTAGTGCGAGGGGTGTGCAGGGCGCGAGGTGCGAGGGAGGGAGGGCGGCGCAACTTCACCGCAAGTGTGCAACAGACGAGGCGCCACGAGATTCGAACTAGAGCCTGCAATATTGATTATTTCTAGTGCCGACAGCGCTGACACCCACACAAATTCACTCTATTGCGTACCTATCTAACTATAGGGGTTGTTTATAGCTAGTTTGCATGCTAGTTAATTTTCATACTTCTGTGAGCATACTGCATTGAGGACAAGACCGATTGTCCTCATCATAATATCGCCGCAACTAATCTGCCATCTAAAGATTCTAAAGTACTTACACAAAAGAATTTGTATTCATAGCTTACTTAAAAAAATTAACACCAAATTCTAACATCTAGGGGTGGGTACAACTTTGTATTAAAAGCACACATTTAAATTGTGTAGATTGAGACCCGAACATTTCCATTCCCTATTTCTTTGAAAACTTCTTCAGCTGGCAAGTACCCGGAGCGGCGCGGCGTAGTCATGGCCTCATGGCACGTGTTCTTGTTTCCTCTCGACTGCGGATCGATACCGGCTTGTATTTTGGTAAGGGATTTATAACAAAGGTCAGGAGGGTTTTATTTTTACCAATTTTCCTACTTAACATATAGATTTGTTTTTTATTCATGTGTTTGCTTGATTCTATTGTAGTCTTTCAGATTTAACGTTATGAAGAAATATGTTTATGAATCATTAATTCAGATAAAATTATCATGTTTCAAGAAATTTAGAAATTTCATGAAAATTATCAAGATTTCGTAACCGATAGGGCGCGATTCGTATACAATACTTAAAAATTTAAATAAATTATTATCTTTTCAAGGTCAACTGCATGCTTCTGTAGCGAACAAAGCAAGTCAAGTGTTTTGGAGCACCAAGTCGTGAGCAGTAGTTTAATTAGTGATTTAATTTATTAGCCAAGGCAATAAAACTGTTTATCCTTAAATAAAATAAATCACTAATAAAGTTTGGTGATATACAGCCTTGGCCAAAAGTATTAGGCACCCTATGAATTATTGCATATTTTTGATTTATAGAGAAACAAAACTACTTTTGTTGATTAATTAACTTTATTTCTATTACAAACATACAAAAACATTAATATTTTGTTGGACCACCCTGTAAATTTATCACAGCAGCTACTCTGTGAGGCATACTGTGTACAAGGTTTACGCATTCCTCTTGAGAAATTGCTTCCCATTCGTGAAGTAAGGCGCATTTTAATGCAGTTTTTGATGTTGTGGAATATATTTTGATTTCTTTCTTTAAAATACCCCCCAAATGTTCAATTGGATTTAGATCCGGGAACTGGGCAGGCCAAACTAACAGGTCAATACATTTGTCAGTAAACCTGTGTAATGTGTCGCTGAATTATGACAAGGCGCGTTTTCCTGATGAAATTTAACACCGTGTAAATTAGTGTCACCAAAAATACACGAAAATGAAGGTATAACAGCACTTTCTAATACATTTATGAATTTTGCACTGTTCATGTGACCTTCGTAAATGCACATTATGCCGACTTCATTCACAGCCATGCAGCCCCAAATCATTACGAGGCTTCTGCCGTGGTTTATGGTTGGGACTACGCAATCTGAGTGATATTCTTCGCCTCTGCGTCGGCTCACAAACGTCACACCTGGTGTTCCAAATACCTGAAATGATAAAACAAAATTGACACAATACAAACATTTATAACATTTGAGTTTGAAGACTAATGCAATAATAATCGTTGCAATTGTGTTATAGACTCAATTAATAAAACTTACCTCAAAGTTTGATTCGTCGACCATTGTACATTTGAACAATCCTCCTCTGTGAAATGTTGGTGTCTCAGAGCCCAACCAAGACATTTTCTTTTGTTCTCTACTGTAAGCCACGGCTTCTTTCTGGGTTTGTAACCTTTTAAAACTGCTTCTATTAGCCTTCGTCTTGCAATCCGAGCGCTTATGCGTTTACCAGTCTCTTCAGATAAAGCTGCAGCAAGCTCCAAAGTATTTTTTTTACGGTCTTTGATACGCTCGCAGTTATGTTTCCTGTCCTGGTAGCTAGCAGTCACGCTATTTCTGCCTGTTTTTGTTTTATTCGCATCAGTACCGGTCCCAGCAAAACGTTTAATAGAAGATTGAACTGCGCATCGCGAATATTTTAACAACTTCGCAATTTCTTTCTGGGTCTCTCCTTGCTAATGTAAAAGTTTGACTTACACACGATTTTAAGACTAATTTCGTTTCTCTTTAGCATTTCTAAATAAATTTGTTCTCTATTTAATCAAAAAACTGCAAATGTTCTGTCTTTAAGCGAAGACTTCGAAATACAGACTGATCAGACATTAAACGTAAGTTTTGTAAAAAAATAATATTTCGTTATTGATGCACCAGATGTTATACAACCACTCAAATATTGCCGCCCAATATCTTAAATAGCGGTTTATGACACCGAGATCATCTTTCAAAAGAATATCAACTAATTGTTTAAATAGCACGTGTGCATGGGACCTTTATTGGGGGTGCCTAATACTTTTGGCCAAGGCTGTAGTTTATTGCGCGAACATAATAAGTCGTTTATAACACTATAGTGAGTTTATTATTGATCGCACTCATAAGCTCTGTCTCCTACACGATTACGTGGAACACCTGCCTGGTTCAAAGAAATAGGATCTGTGTTGATGGTTGCGGTTATTTTACACATTTATTCATTCATTCAAATGACAAAGATACCAGAAAAATAAGTTTTAATAATGTACGGGTTTGGTATACAGAAGATATACTCAATTTCTTTTTTTGCTTGCTTACACTTTAGTAGTAAACATTTTTAACGTTCATTTTCCTGTAGTTAGGTATGTTGGATATAAATAAAAGTAGGTAAACTTACTTTAATGTTTGTGGTAACTTAATTTAGTACTAAAAATAATTAAATATTACTTTCAGTTCCGAATTAAATGGCAACACTGATTCCAACGACGATTGATAAAAATCTAATAAGAATTATAGTCTGTGTGAAGCAAAGTTCTTATCTTACTTATCGAATTAACTCAATAGAGATGATAATTATAATGTGGTTTGACTAGATCTCGAGTCGGTTCGCTGGAGGCAGGTAAGTAAAGAGTTGGGAGCGTGCCGGCCGGCGCGTGGAGCGACGGCGTGGCACGACGCGCGGCGCAGTGGGTCAGGCGAGGCAATACGGGCGGACCTTGCAATGTCGCGGCGTGACGCTCAGCTGACGGGCCGCCCGCCGCGCCGCCCCGCCGCGCGTTCATTGCCTCCGTGGCAGCGGACGAGAGCGCCCGCCTCTATGCCACACTCTCATCTGACTTAGTATTTACGATTGCCGTACTACTTGCGACGATGGATATTAAACTTTACATCAGTAGATTAAATGAAAATGGTTTCATGTGCAAAAATTGTGATAATATTTACAAGTATTATACTGTTGCTAATGTGTGTGCGTCTGGAATATAAATTTAGTTAATACTGAGTGCGGTGACGACCGGTGCGAAAGGTCGGCCTGTGTAAAAATAACTGCGGAACCGGGCGGCTAAGCGGTGGAATGAGGTTTGACGGCACATTGTAGCCGAGGCGGGGCGAGGCCGTGTGCGCCATGTTATAATTTCCCTTCGCGTCGAATGTGCAAACCAACTGACTGAACACTGCGCTGTGCCTACTTCTCTTTCTCTCAGTGCGGAATAAGCATGCTTGTTGTACGAGACAAGCCGCAAGTCGCCCACCTCTGCCAATCTGCCACAACCTCAGCGCTCGCGATTACATTAGCCATCTTACGAATATAAAATGAATTGTGCTAGTGAATCCGAAACAGTGACTATGTGGTTAGTAGCTATAGGTATTATGCATTGAAACATTAATTGGATTCTGGCATTCAAACTAAGTGAAATTTTATATCAACAATAAATCTTTTTAGTATTGTGTACTGTTGACACACCAATTACAACACTCATTATGTTATCTAACAACGAAAAAAGGAACAAAAATATAAATTTAAAAATATTTGTTTACATATTATTTATATAAAAATATTTGTTAACAAAAGTACAATAAACAAATTACAAACTTAATAGATTAAAACATAACTTCGAGTAAGGTGAAGTAAATTTAGTAGGAGACCTGACTTAATCTAATCATATCGATAAGAGTCACAAATGACACGCACACACTGGCATAGTAAGATGTAGGTAGGTGTAGCTAGGTATCTATAGTTATAGTACCCATTAGGCAGAAAGAGTGGTGCGAAAACCGCGATTTCATTTCAAGCGCTCAGTGATAGAGGCGCGGGGCAGCGGGGCGGGGAGCGGGGCGCACTGCGTGTCGGTGACCCCGCGGCCCCGACTTGCCTACACTTCGAGGCCGGCATACTTCCCTGCTCGCTTTATCAAGTTTATCGTATTTCCACTTTTAGGATACCAAGTCTTCGCATCACATCAACTCTCGTGTATGAATCTTTTACTATGAAACGTTAATAATGATGATGTAGCGATAATGAAATCAAGGTAACTGGTAAAGAGATAACTAATAATAAACTGTGCCATAAAATTCATCAATTAGTTAAGCTCTATGATGCCATTTAGGGTACAAATAGTAATCTGAAGAATTATTGCTATGACTAGTGTTATCGGATCAAAGGGCATTATCTGTTAGGAAATAATTATTCAGGCCAGCTTGAAGTATCATTCATTAGATTAACTGGGTAAAGAGAAATAATGAATTAATAATAAAAAGTAGGAGGTTGTAGGTACTTTGGGATATTGTTGATCTGAGTTTTAATATGGGAAAATATAATGTTTGGTCTGATAATTGAGAACAATTAGATCCATGTTACCGTGATAGAATGAAAACCTGTTACGACTGCGATGCATTGTACCGCGTACCGTGACAGGCGAGTGTAAACTGCGTACGGTGCGCTCTATACATGTACGATACGAAAATGGTCTCGCTGTTATTTTGTAAGGCTGCTATTTATAGGTGTGTTTACAGTACACTCTGTTGTATGTACGAACTGAGCGCACTACGATAATAAATGTTCTTAGGCAGCTACTCAAAGGAATGTTAGTTGAACGCAGTATAACGTCACATCACAAAGTCTGGTTACGTGTTATGAAACGTTTGAAATAACCATAATAACTAATTAAATTCTTACCGCAGTAAATGGGTCTCGTTATGATGACAATCGTTTTACGTTACACTCGTAGGCGCTTTCATATAAAAAAATCAATATCTACTGTTTGTCGACGAAAGCTCAATCGATATCAAGGTAACCGACTTCCTAAATGTAGCATGAAACGTAATAGACCTTCTATTAATAATGTATGCCATCATAGCATGGTCGGGCGTACGAGCGGAGCGTTAAAACAACCGACCCACATCGCGATTGTAGGAAGTTAAAAAGTTTGCGTAGGTTAATGAATAGTATACCGGTGAATGCAAATGTCTACAATATTATCCATAAAACAACTCACCGATTTGTATTCGGGCGTCCGCCGAGTTTCTACTAGTATCTCCCTTGTGCTGACCTGTAAACACGCGATCAATGCGCTCAATGTAAACCAGCCTATTAGAAAACGTCTCCCCACTATTATGGCTGTTTGCCTTTTACAATAGGTACCTACATGCTATAATGCATTAAATTATATTGCAAGTTAAACTACAATTTTTAGTCGCCTCTGAACGTAGCTGCATACAAAATCGATAAGCTTATCACAAATTCATAATGCCGTATGGCTGGCAAGCGACATAGATACAAGTTGTATCAACGTATCAAATTCAACACATTTTTCTGAGCACAGCGTGGTTGTGCTCTAATTGCTCACAGGTAGTGAAATGTTTTTAGGTCGATAAGTCACAACCGTACATTTGCCGAGAAACTATTTATGTCCGTCCGCCATTTTGTCGTTGAATGACGAAATGGTACACTCAGTGACAAGCGAGACTGCCACCATCAGACAATGATTATGAATATTTATTACGAACTGATATCGATTGACTTCGCATTGGATTACCTGAGTAGATACAGGTATAAAGGTACATAGTTTATGATAACCGCATTGTTTTGAACAAATTATTTATTAAGAAGGTATATAACTAGTCATTACTCACTTAGAATCTTTCCGGTGAGCAACAAAGAGAACGTGATCAATAACACAGATCATTTGAATAACAAATATAACAAAACAACGAACAAAACTGATGCCTTAGCTCGGCCAAATGACGCGTCATTAGGACGAAACAGGGGAGCGAAGTGCGTAGCGGGGAACGGACGGAGACGAGACACATAATAGAATTACATATCTACAACATCACTTGGTCGGCCGAGACGATGATGTGTGCACATACGTTTTGTTGCCGGCGACCGGCGAACAGAAAGCGGGGCGGTGGCGGCTGCGGGGCAGGTGGGCATGCCTACTGGAGCTGCCACATTATCAAAGATCACGTGATCGACTCGTTGCATGTCAACATCTACTCGCCCGCCGACTGGTGGCGCACTGATATAAATATCTATGTATGGCTATACATAACAGCCGGCATTACAGTGCTCCCTCCCTCCTTTACAATGTGAGGAGGTGGACTAAGCGACTTGCATTTCTGATTAATAAAATATTCACCTCCACAATCAGTCGATCGATACTGGGTTTGTACAGACCTACTAAGTAATTTGCTCGTATCAAAAGCTAACATTTAAGCCCGCCTTTGTTTCAGTTACTTAAATCGGTAGCTGCCTTCCATCGTGATAACGTCTACTAGACAACGAAACGTGAGAACTTTCATCCGTATAGCGAGTTACTATAACTATAACGGTTTATTGTAGAACCGTTCACTAAAATTTATCAAACTAACGTAAAATTATTTAGTTCGTGATGGCATAATGCAAAGCACTACCAAATATTAATCGGTCCTTAGAAGTAAAACAGCTGTCGAGCGGATTTATTTGCAATGGTAACACGATATTGATCCAATTCAAATAAATTAATGACGAATGAATGGTACGTCTGCCAGTCTGCCTACGTCATTTTTATACTGTTTGAGACGCAAATAGATACTTCAAGTATGAAATCCAATCATATAGACAACAACGGTGAACTATTACTGATAAACCAACTAACCGAGTCTAACCTGAGCACAGGAAATGTGAGAACAAAAGAATCGTTTCGAAAACAACATTGCATTCACTTCTGATTTAACAAAGACATTCCTATACAATTCGCTGATGGAATCCATACAGATGTTCACTACAGTTATATGAGGTACTAACAAAGTTATTACTACTAAAATCAGAGTAAGAACGCCGTACAACAATCAGCCCAAATCGTATTCGTCATCGAGCTCTACCTTCGTCCATGAGATAAGTACAGTCACATCAGCAATTATATTATTATACCTATTAGCTGTTTATATTTTATGAACAGCATAAGGACTAAGATCATAGGTCTGCTAACCTGTGACACTATGGCAGGCTGAAAACAAATAGTCTCTCCTAACAAAACTCGTTTGTAAAGAAACTAAGAATAGAATTCAATGAACCACTTGACTAAACAATCCCATTCTTCTATTATTAACTCGTAAACCGAGTAAACCCAAATAGATTACCTAGAATATCATCTATTCAATCAATATCCGCGGTGTCCTCTTCAGGAGTTTCAATATAATTAAACAACTTACAACCTGTCTGATTTGAAGATTACGATGTGGACGTAAGTATTTGTCATCAGTTCATCGATGACCAAATAAGGCTTACGATGAATAAACCACCGCTTTAATCGTTTGAAACATGAAATTCCATATAAGTTGAGAATGAAAAGTAATTTCGAGTTATAACTATTGACCTAATAAATACTGTGAACAATAATTTCGATTCGGTTACACCTACCATGAATCAAGTTCAAGTTTAATGACTGACGCATTATCTGAGAAATACGAGGCTCGCATTGAAGCGGAAACGATATGGTTTTATGTCACCCTACGACAATATAGCGTAGTAATAAAGCAGCAATACAAACTGACCTTGGCGCCTAGGAAGCGCGCTTCCAGCAGCTCCTGCTTGCGAGGATCCAGCGCCGCTTGGAAGTGCTCCATCTTGACGCCAGCACCTGTTGAAGATGGTGCATGTTACAACCCATGTATTAAAGCATACAGATGTTGTACACAACGACAGGCCTTTTTACAGGAACACGGAAGAGATCAGTGAAGTCGTCAAATTATGCGTTTCGGTTGATCAAAAAGGTCAAACTAAAATATCTGTTTGCGGGTTTATAATGGATTTAGATGATGCTTGTTCCCAAATGTGCAATCTTGTTCCAAGGGATAAGCCAGCCAGGCAATGTTATAGTTTCTCTTTTTTAAATAATTTCACAATTCTGGGTCAAAATTGATGTTGCTTATCAAAATTGTAAGAACAATGCAACATCATATTAGACAATTCATATTATTATGTAGTTTTTAATCTGATTCATAAATATGTAGTACAAAAGTAAAGTGGGTCAAGCTAAGTTTCCCAATTTATGATTATCATTTATTTTTTCTACAAAAACATTAAAAAAATCCGTAAAGCGATAGACACTGTACAATGTATGGTGTGTGGTAAGAACAACGCCCCCTATAGTAGATGGACATAAAAACGTCACATTCCAAAAGTGGGTGTATGTATTGCAATGTCCAGGTGTTCTACATTCAAAAAGACGTCAACATTAATATAAGTTTAGAACTGACTTCATTAATTAACAGCAGTCAGAGATGGATTGTGTGAAGAATGATATAGAAGAGAAAGCCTTTTTAGTACATCCAATAGCGGAGAATTAAAAAAGACATTATTGTGCCGATCCCAAGAAGCCTGAGATAAGGACAAGAACGAGAATACCTAGGTGGGATTAATGTTAGATTTTATCTCTTTGCAATGATCTGGTTCGATTACCTAATAGCGCCTTTACCCTATAAAAGACATTATCACACAGGTAGAAATGCAAAGATTCATGGTACTTCAAGGAAGTCTTAATTTAAAAAAGTAGCCCCATAACAAATATTTTATTCAAAGCCCGATTCTGATGTTACACTACACATCTCTGAGAAACTATTATGACTTTTAACTAAGAGTATCATTTTCTTGGGACTCCATGTTCGTATCGCCAGTCACTCACATGGAGGTATATAGGTAAGTCAGAACAGAGAACAGACACTAGGATTGAATAAGGCAACAGTTGGTTTCATAACCAAGTTGGCACAAGGTAAAATACCTTCCATACAATTTGTTAGTTGCTCGACCAGGGTGTCCGAATTATTAATAGAGCATTAAATACGAGGATTTTATTTAATACCACATAATTGAGAGGTTTAATTAATTATAATTTAGAGCATAATACGCACATAGTTAACCGCGATAAGAAAATTTAAAACCGACACGTTTGAGTAAAGTGGCGACTGTCATTGCAAGAATGAGATCAAGGATCACGTTCAGTGTGCAAATAGAGAGACATATTAATATGACCTATGACATTATGTTATATTGATTATTGTATGATCACGGTTTTAATTAGGTTTTCTTATAACTGAGCAATTTTCGCAAATCTAGGTTCTTGGGTTTGATTATCCGAGATAGAAGAGATCTATACATATTGTAAGGCCCTGCTTCATCGCTTTTAGTCTCAGTTACTATAACTGGTGGATAATTAGACGAATGTCATAAGAAATATGTGTTAGTCAATCAACTTGCTACCAATTTCTATAACCTATCTCAATCCGTTTTCAAAGATTGATTCTTGACATTGATTCTGTGGAGTTTCTGTCAAAAATAGATCTTAATCGGTATAATGTGTAACAGCCCATATAAGTGGGTGTGCTGTTACTGCTAAATACTCATAAGAACCCACGTAGATTGAAGGACGACGGTGTAATGTTGTTTTCGATGTGTGATATCATACGGATTTCTGACAAGAAGTTTCTTATGTCATGAACTCAACTTTTTTTTCTCATAGATACATATGACCAATGACTTTCTAATCAATCATCCTTCTCATACGCATGTTGTACCAACAATGAATTTAATATTATAGAGCACTGACTGCTTTGATAAACCACATAAATGTTATGTCACCAATCTCCATTATAAACAATTGGTGATGTCCCTATCTTGTATGATCAGATCGGGCACAGAATGTACCATATGTAGGTACTGAAATGACGTTATGTGGTCTACATACGACCAATTTAGATAATAGCTGAGGACCCATGGAAGTGGTTATATCACCACATCCTCTCAGCAAACGTGAATGCAAGCGTTATAATAAAATGTGTTTGAAGGTCATTGTTTCTTCAAACATAGATAACAACACGAAGCAATTATAATTTTGTGTTAAAAATACATTTGAAACCCATATAATTAAATACGTAGGTACTCAACAGCTCCAAGTAGATGTTCTCTGTTTAAAATTGATCTTTTTGCTAAAGAATAGGTAAGCTAGGGGTAGAGGTCGGAGGGGGGCAGGGTTTTGGCGCAGTATCTGGAGCAGACAGTTGAGTTGCGAGAAGTTAGGTACAGTTATTTATATAGATACGTATGTATGTTCAATGTACATATCGATCGCCTCCCCGGGCCACTCGCCACTATGATCTCACCTCCATCCTTTGCGACTCCCTTTCTCCCCACACCCCACCCTTACCTACCGCATAACCCCAGAGGCCTTTAACGAATGTCGTAGTCAAGTGAATCGTGACTGATTCATTACCACTAAGTAACTGATAAAAATCTTGATATTTTAGTTGAAATAATGACTTTTGGGTAACGTAAATACAATGACAGAAGACAGACAATCAATTTTAAGTTGATTATGAATTAATAAGGTAATGAGGAATGAGTAAATGAATGCAGAGTAATGTATACAGACGAGGCTCATAAGTGATCATAAGTCATATCCTGCCTGTAACGGTATGCACACGATATTTCATTAACTTAGGGGGGGAAATCATCCAAAGGTATTTAATTTACTCGCCTTCTCATAATAAGGAGGCAACTACAAGTAATAATATTACTTTACACTGTGAGACAACTAGCAGCTGTGTGTATATTAGCATTTACTGACTAATTAAGACAAAACAAGATAGTAATTAACATACAAATATTCATTTAACTTTAAATAAGGTTAAAGTAATGCTCTGCATCATTTTTATCACGAGCATAAGATAAAATTGTATTAAGTAAGTGATATATCAACAATAAATAAATCGTACAAATATTGTGAGACATTGAGAGTTGAAACCGAAAACACTACAGGTCGAGGAATTCATGTGGTTTAACTAGTTTTTATATTCCGATACTTTTATCTGACGAAACAACGGCTTCGTTTATATGGCCATTTACTTGAGTCGATGTTAAGTGGATATATCATTAGTACAGTGAGCAGGGGGCAACTAGTCTACAAGCTCGCTTGTTGTAAGCTCAGCTGGTTTTCTTTTTTTTACAAAGGACCGTAAAACATTTCTATTCATGTTTGTAACCCCGGGGATCAGACACAAAAACGTCTTGTTTTGTTCTACTCGTCATGAGCAATTACACTAACATAGTAATGAAAAGGCCACAAAAACATTACTACTGTTACACCTTTCAGTTGAATGTTAAGAAAAATGCTTAATTTAACTATATCGAAGCCAAGTCAGAAACAACATACCGTGGTTAATTAGAAGTGAAGATGATGACGTTCATTTTTTGCTATGAACAAGTCATAAAACCATTCATCAAGCTGTTTCCATTGCAGGAAAATGTTTAATAGCAACACGAGAGAATACGGGACCATAACATGACTAAAGTTACAAAAGATAGTGCAAGAATTGAGACATTTTAACGCCATGTCATCATGACACACGTGAAAACTATTTCGGTCGCAGTCGAAGTAAGATTCAGTACCTAAATATAGGATACGGATAAATTCCAAAACCTTTTCACTTGTATTATAGAATTTAAAACTAAACTGAATAAATATAACTAAGACTGATCTTTCAACATGAAAAAACAAGTATCTAATTAAGATCTTTTTAATCATGATCTAATTTAAAACAGACATTAAGTTAGGTACTTAAAACTTAATTGATAATACATCAACCATAAGTACATTACATTAGTAACTAAAATTATATCTTAGTTAGGTCCTCTTAAGTTTATAGTCACCAGATCCAACGCTGTTGGAACTACTTGTTGCCATGGCAAGACAGGTCGCCGCAACCCACAGACTGTTACAAATTTTGAAAACCTACTAGCCAATACTGCTTATTTTATTAACCATGTCATTTATGACATGACTCAAGTCCTTCTATCAAGAAAGTCTAAAAGACGGCTTGTCTGAGCTACCTGTCTATAGGAACACATGTACTGTATAAAACTAAGTGGAGATGGAACCAAGATCGCCTATTGTGTCTGGATTATCGTACGGATGTTGCTAGTTAGTCGCCAGTTCAGTGCCTCTGACATGTTAGGGGTCCTGAGATCTTTGCAAAAAGATCAAGACCATTATATTTCAAAAGATACTGTATTGTACTTATGCGTTTTGATTTTTTCATAAGTGAATGACGTTAATTCGAGATATCTTTCAAAGTAATGTCTTGCCATTTGATTTTTAGCGATGTTCCATACTACATGTGTTTGACGAGATAAATAGCAGTTAAGGATTAAGGATACTGTAACATTTTTTCTGCTACAAAGATTGTATCACCCGACCCCGACTAATTTTGCAGCAGGACGTAGATGCACTAATATTGTTAAAATGTTTATAGTATAAGAACAGCACCCTATACAAGCCCATTTTATTTTATCAAAAAAAAAATGTTCTTGCATTAAAATCAACGCAACGTGCACAATACGTACATAACACATTAAACGCGTATAAGATTTTGTTTTTTTTTTTCAAAATTACCCATTCTTCCAAAAAACGTGTTCTTTGGTAATATCAATAAACGACACCACGGAATTATTCACGAGTTATTTGAGTTTAATAGAAAATTAGAGAGTGTGTCAAATGCACTAGAATTCACAGAGACGCTACAGCTGATCGCGTATTTATGTCAACAGTAGAGCCAGCCAATAACTGAAATGTTCGAATTAAAAGCTTTGCATCGACTCTTTTATAATTAAATCCCTATGTAACTTCAAGTCGTGACATTCAGCAAGAAAATTTTCTAGTTGTGGAAAACTTGTTAGTATTAAGTTCAATAGTCCCCATTCAAAGTGTCGCCTGACCACTTGTTATGGTACTTGATTCTAACCAGTGCTCTCCAATAAATGTTAAGAACTAAACTAACTAATTAAAATACTGTGATACATCAGTGATAAACAAATCAGTTAAGCTAAATCATTGTTATCGTAGTAAGAAAGGGTTAAACACAGTGACAAAATACTCAGTGGTAAAGTAGCGGACAGATGTAGGCACGTCGGCCATGCTATGTAAGACAAGATGGTGTGTTGTGTGTTGTGGCCGACAAGCAGTCGAGCGCAGACGACTGCCAGCCGTCAGGGCAAGCAGACACCCACCCTTGCAGCGGGAGTTGCGGCGGCCACGCTCGTTCGGTCGATCGCTCATCGCGAACGACTCTTTGAAATGCATCTTCCAACACCGCTCCGAACTCCATCCACATTCACGTGTATCATCGGCACGCCAATACACAATCCACTCACTGTCACCAAACACGTCACGATACCGATGAAATTCAAGCCGTGGCCGGGCGCTCTTCACCCACCGTGATACGCACTCGGAACGTGCCGCATTTTCAATTTCAACACATCGACGACAAACACCAAATGTTTCGTAGGCACGGACCAATGCGACAGTCGGCCTCGGGCGCGGACTGGCGCGCGATGCGAACGGCCGTCGCCGCCGCCTCCGCCGCGAGACCGGACCTCGCGTCTCGGGGGCGAGGATGCGGGAATCGGCTTCGGCGCAATACCCGTCACGAAAATAATAGGAACAGCGAGTGCACCTCAGAGGCGCGACGCGACGCGGTCGGTGCGAGCGAGACGCGGATAAACACCAGACTGTTTACTTACGGTGTTCGAGCGCGGGGCTGGGTGGCGGGGTGAGGGGCAATCGCCTGCAATCCGCACGCTGCAATTACTGCTTTGTACTACACTATTTCATCCTAACTTAACGAGACCGAATATAATATTTACTTACATGTATGAAATAACCTGCCTAACTACTGGCTGAAATTCCACTTGCTGCCCCGCACTGAAAACGATCTACATCTAACGCAACCGACACCAGAGATAAAGTTGATAGATAGTACCTAGCAAACTATTACAAAAACTAAAACAATATTATGAATGTACCCTGGGTGCCAGTGAGATTACTCAAAGAACTTTGTTTTCAAGATTTAGTTCAATTAAATGATAATTCAAGCCTGAGGGAAATTAAAGCAATCTCGCAGATTTTATTTTGTGGCAATTTTAATGATCAAGAGCAGGTCGTAAAGTACTTTTATTACCAACACAAGTAACCGTTACCTTGTTACCCACCAACAGACAGTTGCCCACAAAAATGAGTAAAACAAAAGCTATCAAAGAGTTCAGGGTTCACACCGTCCATTTCATTGAAATTTTCAGCTGAAGAGTATGTAATAATATAGCTTTGTTTAGTCAACTAGATGCCAGAATAATGAGTATGATGACTGATGACATTATCAATACAAATACTTCATAGTAATACCATCATGACAACAATGGATTTCAAAACGAACAAATAAGTTAGGTAATTTTCATACGGTTGAGTCGTTAAGATAACAAATTAAACTGTTTTAAATGTCCTACAATAGGTACCAAATTGTAAGTATGTACTGAATATTTACTTTCGTCTCAAATGTATTTTGTTTATTGTTTATCTTATCATTAATTAAAGAGGTATTTAATTATCATCGCTTTTGTCGCACTTCAGGACACTACGACTACAAGGATAATATTATACTTCATGATGTAAGTGACGTCAAGTAACTTTTTTCAGAGTATGGGTGCTGTGATAAACTGATAAGCGATAGATTTGCTTGGGCGTTATCATGAAGTCATTTTTTAATATTGGTAAGTATGGCTAGTTTTGATGATTTGATTTGACCAGTGCGTGTGTAAAGTGGAGCAAGAGCTTGACGATCAATCGAGTAGCTATGCTGTGCATCGAGCGGTGGTGACTGCATTCCGACGCCCCTGCCCGCGGCCCGCGGTGCCAACCCGCACCCCCCGTCCTTCCGGCGCTCGTCACGTGACGCGCCGATTAGCTGCCGACTACCGAGTGCGCCACAAACACCGAAATAGAGTGAGCACAAATCTCGAATCTCATGTTCAAGTGGACTAAAGATTTAAAATAGCATAATTCGATACTTCTTCCTAACTTTCCCACTGCCTTCTACTGTACCTAATTGACTTAGAATACCTCCCTTTGAGGACGAGGGTCCAAAACTCAAAGCTGTTTAGTGTCCCTGTACCTAACTAAGCTTAAGACCATCATAAGAAAAATATTATAAATTAGAAATTTTACTGCATCACTAAGTTGCGCTACGAAGCGTAATCGTATTTAGCAACAAGAAAAAGACGACAGGATCAATACAAGCTGCAAAATGTACACGTGATCGCGCCACTATACATATAAATCCCTCCCACAACGGGCGCCCCCTAAACACCCAGTCCTCCCTTCCGCCTATGTCGACACTAAAGATATTTTTTCCGCGAGCCCAATATTATCAACGTCAATCACAAGATAAGCCACAAATTTAAACAATCCAAAGTAAATCGTATCACAAACTGATAAAAGACAAATAAATATCCTTAAGGATAAGTATTTAACGTGGCAATGAAATAATATTGAATCAAATCAAAGAGTCCACAAGTTGTCAAGCGCTGCGTGAAACCAGTTCCCGTGGGCGAAAGGCGACGCGTACGTAGCCCATTACCGCCGCCGCGCAACCCGACCCGCCCCCGAATAACACGGTTGCCATTTGCCCGGCTTACGTCAACTCCAGACAGAAGCCCAACCAAAACTTTGCAAAAGAAATTCTATGTTTCATATAAAAAATAACGTTTTCGTTTAATGATGAAAATAAAGAAGCAAAAAAGAGCCATTAAACACCTGTTCAAATCTTACGTGAACATCTTTTTTATTGCCGGGGTCTATAAATCAGAACGGTCGCAAAAATTATGGTTTTCATTTATGTGTTGCTTTAGCGTATAAAACAACACTTATACCACTTACTACAACATAAACAAAACCCGAATAAATAAAAAAAACTAAAAAAAAACATTCGTTATTTAAAGATTCAAGTTAGCTTTGTGTTGGGGTCGCGCTTTACACAAAGGGCTGATTGCCAACAGCTATCGGTCATGCGATCGATATTTCGTGTTCGTGTACAAACCAAGTCTAGGCTTAGGAGTTTTTGAATTCTTCTCTAATTACTTACAATAACAATATATTTTTTGTGAGACAATAAAGAAATTTCAAAATAATAACTGATGTTTAAAAAGTGAAAGTAATAATAATAGTTAAGCAGTTTTTTAGAATCGCAAGACGTTTAATATTATTAATAGGGGCCGTATTTACCGGTCTTTGCATTCACTGATAAAGTATGAGTAAGTACAAAAATATTGTTCGAAACCGATAAACTTGACATAGTTACTTTCCTAACAGATGAAACACTACCTCCAAATTAGAATCGAAGTCGAAATTAGGTTTTTAAGTTTGAGACTATCTAGGTTTTCAGCATAATTCTCTGTTATTGGGTACATCGATGAGTTCGGGTCGTGAGTTAGGCGATGATGTTCAAAACATAAATTCTATTGAGTGTTCGCAGTCGCTACAAGTCCAGTCTGTCCTTTTCATACGTTACGTACGGTGTTGGCGTGAGCGAGTTAACAACATGAGATTTAAATTAGAATGGATTGAATAGGTTCGGCTGATGCAACTCAGCGCCACATTCACAGCGCGAATTAATCGTAAACGCGCGCAAAGGTAAACGTGGCAACAACGCAGACGCTTCTCTGTAATTTCGCGCTAGCCACCATTACAGAAAACCCGCTCGACTTCATTGAATATGAGCCGTTTTTATCTCATTACTGAACCACTACAGTGTTCATATTATGAGGTTTTAAACGAAACGCCGTCTCATTGTCGGTTAGACATTTTGTAAGCTTTGTATTTTTAAACATTTCTATGGTTTCATGTAAACAATCTTTTAGGTAAGTATGCCTGTAATTATTATCAAAATGAAAAGTTTCGCATGAAACCATTTATTAATTCGCGTCACAAATACTCAAGGTCAACAAAACGCGCATGTGCGGTGTTACAGTAACTAGTGCCATTAAAGATTTTTAAATGCCCCCAAGGGTAATGCTCAAACACTCATTCGATCTCAACGGCTTGTTTTGATTTTTGAATGATAAGGATAGATATAGGATAGGCTTAGAAATGTTATGATCATATTTTTTCGGAATGTTGGTAGGAATTTCAACAATTAATAATTAGATTATTCAACCATTACTTGATTTGAAACATATCATCAAAGCAATAGTTGGTGGTTGGTAAACAAAGTGCGTCATTAGTTTTATCATCAGTTGTGCAGTAGGAGGTGGGTGTCGGCTCCGGCATCGATCCACGTCTTATATACACCTTTTTACATACTTCCTCGCGTCCTATGTGGGGATTCAACCGCGATGCGTCAACCGATGCAAGGCACATGCACCTCGCACCGCACCTCACCGCCTCAGCTCCCCTCTTACACGTAACTGCCTGTTATACAGACAGATCTCAACAGAGACACATCGCTATACTCAATACTTATTGATTCCAACCGTACATTATAAGCCTTCAACCTTGAAACGATGACCTTTCATGTGTATAGAGAAACGCTTATAATGTTTATTTGTACACGTGCAATGATGTATATCTACATCTACCTAGTTCATTACAATGCTATTATCAACATTTGTGTAAATTTTAATTTTACAAATTAATAAAATAGGATTTATTATTGACAACTTATTTTCTTCTTGCTGCCCTTATTCCAAAATCTCAAATTACTTGGAGTCGGCACAATACATTTGTCGAACTAGATATATTAATAATACGATTATTTTTAGACTTCACAGAAATGTAATCATAAACTGCAAGAGTACTTTGAGCATGGATGGAAACCGCATAGAACATACATTATTAAGTAGCTGAATGGCTACGTGGAGTTCGTGGTCCCTTAGTTCTAGAGGTGAATGACACCTAGTGATCGCATTTGGCATCGCGTTAGGCCCTCTTAGCTGGCTAGTTCGCAGCACCGATCAGGTACATAAGATTGGTTGAATATTTGCAGGACAGGGCGTGGCACGTGCCACGAGATAGTAGAATATTAACAATGAGATGCCTTTGCAATTGCGCTGGTAAGAGAATCAATCGGAGACACAAATATCACTGCTACGCCTAAGCCAAGGTGCGGGCACCGATCCAAAAAACGGGCGGTTTACTCCTATAAGTTTGGCAAATAAAAATATGCATAGATGTAAGAAGTAACAACATATTGAATCTGCCGCAAACCGTGTCTGTAAAAGGCGCGGTAACGTATTTGTCGGGCCAGACTGGAATGACCTCGAGTCCTTATTGATCTGGTGACTGCTCGTCTGTGACGTCACCGTCACGTGACCCCTTATAGGTACCAACTTTAGACAAAAATATTTGCTACCTACTCTAAACCGTAGCACAAAGGAATCTTGATTTGTAGTTTTAACTTTTACCGGAATATCAATAAAAGTGAAGTTAGAAATGACTGACAATTAACGTTACGAGCTTACGAAAGGAAAAAGTTGACTTACCTGGGTGCAATACTTTCTCCGTCATGCCTGCGGATCTAAAGAGCGCTCCTTCGAATCCTGCAAAAACAAAAAATCAGTCACATTTCACGCAGAATAATGTTTTACGGTCCTACATATTTAAAGTTATTTATTTAGTTCATACTCCATACCAGTGGTATTAATTTTAGTAAAACTTTTAAACTACTCGACAATGGTCTATCCTCTTTCCGTGAAACGAAATCTGTCTGCAATACAGCAGTAAGCATCCTATCATAGTATGTTAAATGTACAAAACGATGCTGCTGATGTATAATAAAACACATGTGTAAAAAGATGCGTCACAACTCACACTCGTTTCGTACCTAGCTACGTCTTTTAGCATACCGTGTGGTAAAATTCCATTTTATTTTTATATGTTTCAAAGTTTGACTATATTTGTCTTGTTTTCAACAGTGGTGGTTAGATTTTACGTATCGAATGGACATTCACGAAGCGGTATTTTGTCCAGCGCATTCCATTTTGTCATATACAACGAACCGTTTACTTTACGAATGCATAATTCGAACAACTCGCACCTCTCTGTCTAGCTAATCCGTGAGTAGAGGTGTATAAAAGGATGAAGAGCAGCGGATATAATGCCGATGCCGCCCTCAGGGAATAACGGTATAGAGCAGGTATGGAACACGAACTGTCTTGGAAGTATATGCATTAAGAACTCATTCGTATTTCGTATGTTAGTTTTTTAAGGTCATAGTTGTGCAATTTTATTCCAGGTAAAGAAAAAAAACACTGTAGATAACTACTCGTTATTGACACAACAAAATACAAATTGTGGTTCTAATAACTTATCAATAAACCAGTTAGGTAGAAACACGAGTAGGTTTAGTGGTAAACACATTACCATTATTTCCATTGAAAAACAGAGACCTAACTTTACGTATTTAGATAGAACAATAATTACTATTAGATTGGATTACCCTTTTCTCTGCGTATCAACACGTAATTTCCCACAATATGACTAATTCCTGTGTTCGTATTATTATCGACCACAATACGCACCATAGTGCAGTAAGCTTGCGCAACCAAAGTCACCCTTATTGCTTACGAAATACAGGCTTCGACAAGGTCAAATTTTTACCGCTGACGATGACGTGCCGTCGACTGTACTACGTCGCAAATCTGTTTTTATGGTTTTGGAAGTTTTAAAACGTCGTAACTTTCGGATTACGTAAGCACCGATACCTACCAGAATAATAGGAATTTTGTTGGAAAAATAAGTTATTTCAAAGAATTATAGATACAAATATTGAAAACAATTCTATATGAATGGACTAGGCAGATGTTTAATGTAAATTTTGCATCTGCAGTTTACTCAATCAATAATGGCATACATATAAAAAGGATCTTCAAACAAAGACAAAAATACTAAACATTTTACTTATTATAAGAACATAAGCTTGGTTACTGCATGCTGGTTAGTCTAGAGATACTGGCCTTGAATATCAAATACCACTTTTTATTTGTTTTAAGTTGGAAAAGTGTAAACAGGTTTAATAGAGGTGTTTTAAAACAACTGAGTTTTTCACTTCCATTTACATTCTATAAAAAATAGCTTCTTTTTGTAATTTAGTTTACAGTTAAATAAGCTTAATTTCTAGAGGGCTTTCTATGTAAGTTGATTATTCTGGAGAATACAGAGAATAGTGAATTATGCCAAAAAAGTATTACAATAAAAGTGGCTAATTACTAATTAGTCTAATTGCAGATTAAATTATAACTTATATACATTATTGCTATTAGGATAAAGTGGGAAAAGTAAATACAATCCACTGCACAATCCAGATAGCACTTTTCAGAATATTTGTAGCAATGACTGTAATCTGGCTGATTGCACAAAGTAACACTTTCTAACATAGACAATAAGATCCACTTAGAATTGAATTAGATCTTCTTGTTCTCTAACCTCAATCACTTTTAAGTTCAATACATTGAACAAACTATTTATATTTCGAGGAAATGAGATTACCTACCTGTATGATACATTGTTACATGAAAAATACCGCGATTTAATTATCTCACGTGTTTATTATCAACCTTTTTCTTGATAATATTCATTGATCTGAATATAACACTGCATATATAACTTTTGTATCTACCATTTTAAATATTGTATATTTTTAAATGTAAGTAAATAAAATGAGTATGTACCTATTGCATTTAGTGCAATGAATACTGTAACTTAGAACTTGTGACTTAGCAACACAGTAGTAAATACCATAATAGATTCGTTCGAATGTTCTTGTAATGACAAATAAAACCGACAAGCCAGGTTACAGGTCATGCATGTCACGTCAAAACACTTGAAAGATAATACAGTAAATAAAATTACGATCATCTTAATCATCAGTACGTGATAAGTAAAACCATAATTCTAACCTTAGATGCGAAGCAATGTCCAACCATGATATAATAACAGTAAAAAAGTTCACATCAAAATCCAGCCGCTACTTAATTATTGTGATCACTATCACGCGACATTAAGTTTCAACAAATCAAAAGTTTCACAGCACCAAGTACGAAAATGGCGACTAATTCAAACTCAAATATTCTAAAATTTACAAACGTAACAATCTATACACTGATGTAGAGTAAAAAGTATCACTTTATAGATTAATAACACTCATTCACAAACTGAATTCATTACAGTTTATTATTACTATGCGGATAAAAATAAACTTTGTAGATATGGCTAAAATAGTGTATTTTTTTCTTCAAATTCGCAACCATAATGTATGGGAGCTTTTTTTAATTTACACACCTGTTTGTTTTTGGTGAGGAACAGGGTTATTGTCTATTGGTATTTACGTTGTCCTACTCTATAATCTCAGCTATTCGAAACTTGAGTAGAATAAATATCTGAATTATGCCAAATAAACAAATAAATGGATAATGCTTATTTACAAAACCAAGCAAATAAATATATTAAAACTAAAAAAATAAGAAACAGTTCCAATGTAAAGTAATAACAATACAATACACTAACAAATCAAAATAATAAAATTGTGATTATAACATAATAAATGATAATTATGTACATGTTTTATGATTTGAAAGATTTGATTTATAAATAAGTAGTCGAAACACAATTAGATGTTTTTCAATGTGGAAACTATACCGTAGTTTCCACAAATTAGTAAGTTTATTCTTTAGTCGAATATTTGTAATCAAAATTATTATTTATTTTTTATGGTAATACCAGATATTTTTGTATTATACGTCAAAGCGAAATGTCACATAGATGTCAAATCTAAGGGGTGAAGAGCAAATACGTAATGTAAAATGCGAGTAATTAAACAAAATTAAGTGAAATGTTTTGTCCATACTGAAATGTGAAAATATCTTAACCATGTCTGTAATTAGCGAACCAGTGCTCAACATCATTGTGGTGGGCTTCCACCACAAGAAAGGGTGCCAAGTAAGTAGGCGTCGTTACTTTCATAAATCGATAATATATTTTTCAAAAAAGATATGTCAGAAAGCTTGGAGTTACTTTACGAATTAAATCAATAGTCTAATTGTCTATCTGCGTTCTTTGAATAAAATAATTTAACTCAGTAAGTGAACTTCTGGATATTATACAGATGCCGTGTACCTTGTCTACTTCAATAATAAAAACAATATTACAATTGGTTATGCTAGAAAAAACAATTCCTATGAATTTTTATAATCTTGTAGGTGGAACACTGTTATCCGGAATTAGTACCTGGCCATCCATCTGAGTTGCCAGCTGCTTGGCGACATTTACCTGCCCTAGCCCTTCCAGATGGTTCCCACAACTATTTATCTGACACAATATTCTTCAATCTGCCTGGACTTACAGAACCAGCACACACTGTGTATGGTGTGTCATGCTTCAGACAAATTCCTGTTGAGGTGAGCTTACTTTGCCAACAATCTAATTAATGATCAGTCATTTCTTTTGTTTTCAAACATATTCTCCCCTAATACAAATGTATGATTTAATTTGTTACATTGTTTCGGATTATTTGAGCTTATGAATCTGGGAAGATTCATTTCAACTAAATGTCTTGTCTTTATCAAAATGTTTTTGTCTATTACTAGTATTTTACTCACATTAAATTAATAAGTGATCTAAGAACTATGTGTAATTGGTTACCTTGAATCATAAGGTTATCCTTTGTTTGAATAGGTATTCATAAATAAATAAAAATAATATTTTAAAGTAATATTGTGCTAATTGTTCTATTGTTGTGAATTAATTGAGTGATCCTTTTTCTATAGCAAGTTGTGCAAAAGACTGAGGACATGACTCGCAGCTCAGTGCAGAAGAGTGTGTGTGTCGTGTGCAGAGCTCCACTGTTTGGCCGCCTCGCTGTCAAACTAGAGCTGGTAGTACGGGCCTGGTTCCTACAAGGAGATTTCTCACAAACTAAACTTCTAGAAGATGCATACATTCATCTGAATAGTTGCCCAGTACAGATGGATCAAATTGTTGAAGGTATTTCTATTAAATCAAATATTGTTACAATATACCTTATCTGCAGTAACAAGAAATGATAAAAACTGAATATTTAAATATCTTTTTAAATAGTTAATGACTAATGTTGTGGACACACACAAACAATATGAATCATCTTTAATTTTATTTTTATCTAATAAGATATTCAATAAAACCTTTTATGTTAATGTTAATTAATTAACAAATGTTTTAAACTTCTTGTAGATATGACGCAATAGCAGTTTAAGGAATTGAGATAGATAATTTATTAAGTAATATAAAATGTAAAATATGCCCCTTTTTACTGTAGTTAAGTATAGTTTATCTTTATAGTATTTGTTTAACTGATTATATTTAATTGCAGGTTTATCAGTACAGAGATTAGTGGAAAACTGGAGGCACAAAGCTTTGTTACTGTTTAAACTATTGCTATTGAGGCGCAAAGTTCTTATCTATGGCTCCCCAGCCGGGCCGCTGTCTACAGCTTTGTTAACTTTGATATCTTTATTACCACTTTGCTTAGAAAATGGACTGCACCGTGCAGCAAATGTTGTGTAAGTTTTTTATTATAACAAAGTAGACACAAGTAATAATACCATTCAAGAATGTATTGTTTAATTTTGCCTTTTTACTGTTTCAGGCTTTCTAGGCCATTGTCTCCTATTCCTGCTACACCTATCGATAATAAACTCCAAACAGAACCTGATACTGCTGAAATCGCACAAGAACCTCTGGGTCAATTACATAATGGGTCACACCAGATTGAAGAACTCTCCCCAAAAGAGAGCGGAAACCTTTTAGAGGAGAAAGATCGTGTCAGTAGACAAAGTTTTGATGAAACCCTACTTGGAGATACAGTGGATCGTTCAGAGTTGTCAGGATCTAGAGAAAAGTGTCACAGCATTGGCGAGAAATACAAACCTCAGAAAAGTGTGACAGAAGCACAACAAAGCCCTACTATGGCTAGAGACATGAGTGTTGATGGTCTACATAATCTCACAGAGCAAGTTGATCAAACTGAGTGCGGATTTCCTCTGCCCTTGTTTGAGGAAGGCTATCTTTGCCTACCTTATTTATCTTTGCAGTATCTCGATCTGTTATCTGACCCTGCAGTTCATGGTTTTGTTGTTGGAGCATCAAATGTTCTATTCAAACAAAAAAGGCAATTGTTTGATGTCTTGGTTGAGCTAAATGAAATGAGGATAGAGACCTCGGACATGATGCTTCGGAGACAGTTGGCTCTCGGTACTGAAGATCTTCGATTTGCTGACCATGTGGTGCGGCATGGTCCAACTCAAGGTGATGCATGGATAAGAGAGCAGTTTGCAAGTTACTTAATTTATTTATTAAGGACCTCTTTATTACCAGGTAACTTCTAATTATACACATATTACAATGATATGATTTATATTTATAAATGTTTACTAATAATCAACTTGTTTCCTCATTACAGAAGGCTGTCGAGAGATAGATTCCTATAATTCTCAATTCATGACAGCTTTCAAGTCAACTCCTGCCTATCAACAGTGGTTGATATCTACCAATAATGGAGATATAGAATCTTTTATCAATCTCATGCCCATGCATCCATTTTCTGGACAACTATCTGTGGCTGATATGAAGTTAAAGTTTGCTCAGTAAGTTTACTTAACTTTTTTTTATTGTAGATCGTCGTAAAATTATGTGCTCTTGTTAAGAGTAGTGATTTAATGTCTACGTTTCCATGTGTACAGCACAATGTCTACGACGGAAGGCGGCCGGAAGGTGAGCGCGGCGGTGGCCAGTACCGGGCGCGCCGTGGCCACCACCTCGCGTGCGGTGGGTGGCGCGCTGTCGCAGGCTCGTGGCGCTCTCTCGGGCTGGTGGAGCGCTCTCACAGCGCCCGCGCCACCAGATGCAGCCGCGGAACCCGAGTTGCCGCCAGCGTCCGAGCTGCCCGCAGAGCCAGAGCTCCTTCCAGCAGACGATCGCACCAACTCGGATGCAGAGGAGGCGGACACCGACCTCCAGCATGACAACAGGACACAGCTGCGACCCGACAGTCCGGACCCGCCCGATAAGTCCATAGACGACACCACCATCAATCTCAATAAAATACAGGTCATATAGTCATCTCGTGTCATTTAGAATCTTGTTATATAACGCATTGAATCTTTCTAGTTGGCTCATTAGGATTTTTTACGATCGAGTAAAATGATAATATTAATCAAATTATTTAAATGTACATAAAAAAACTGTTCTAGGACATCACTAATAACACTTCACTAGGAATACTTATAGATTTGTGATAAAGATTGCTATTTAGGATATGATAACGAGGCATGTGTTTCTTGTTTTAGTAGTAATCTTGCAACAAAATAGCCTACACTGGAAAAGTTCTCTCATTGTATATTAGTCATATTCACATCCGAGTGATAAAATATAAATGTATTCTATCAATATTGTTCTGGCCTGTTGTAATGTTTTTATTTTTTTAATTTATTGGTGCTCTTTTTTTATCGACATTCCTATTTAATTTGTATTAGATTTTAGGTGTTAATAAAATAAAATACTGATTTAACTAATTGAATTTCCTTTAGTGAATAGTAATACACACAGACCAGTGATTTGATTTAACACAAATATGCATATTTATAAATCGAGGCTACTTATGAAATGAGATTATTTTCAGTATATTTTATTTGCGCTTCCGTTCGTATGTAAGTCTAATTATGAATATTAATGTAATATATTACGTTGGCAACTGTAGATACCAGCTGCGCTGGGTTTATACATAGTATGTGATCTCTTTAAATACATTCGTTTTCGTAGTTACTTCATTGTAGTAACACTTAATATTTCGAAATAAACATTGTATTTCATTCGTTTTTGAATATTTCAATTGTGAGAAAATGCTCTCTATGTGGTTAACTTATTATGTAATTTGATAAATAATAAATTATGCAAATGTAAGGGAGCAAAAAATACATACGATGGTAAATTTTAACGATGTGATTACTCGCCAATATCTGATATTGTAAACGAATAAAGTATTATAAATGTGACATACACACGTTTGTTGTTTCTGTAAAAGTGGTACTAGATGTAAAAGGTAAATAACTTCGATAGCGAATCTTTGTTTTATTTAACATTTTGCAGACGCGGGTAACACAAAATCAGATGTATGTATGAAAGTACAACTACAGATCATTCATTACAGTTAAATAATAATCGATACACTTAAGGTTATATTTATATCACAATACTGGGTCAATCGGTTTAAATGCATTACAATTCTGTCAAAGTACATTGTCTTCATTTTGCAAAGGTACTCCTAATAATACAGTCATAATTGATTAGGTACACTATGTGGAAAGATCTCTGAATTTGTTTTCCATCGTCATAAAAATTGGTTTCTAGCTACGATGTAAGTACGTCGAGAACAATAAAAACATAGCTTCCTACCGCAAATAAAAACTGCTGTCTTCGGCTTAACATACTATGTCACCCTACTATCGACGCGGAGTCGACTCCCGCCAGGCAGCCGTGCGGTCGAGTATCACCCGGGCAGCGACAGTGCCGCGTCACACCGCAGAGTCCGGCTCGTCCCACGGCCACGGCGGGCCCGCGTCCAGCGCGTCCTGTCGCCACAGCGCGCGCCCCGCCTCGCCCAGCAGGCGCATGTTGTACGGCTCCACCATGTTGCCCACCGACGCACTGCTGCCCGCGCGCTCCAGCCGACCGTCCACCCGCACTCCTCGCTCGGCTGTGCTTGCTGTGCTCTTGTCGCCCGGCAGCAAGTCGAATGTATTGCCCACGTCACGCGGCGACTCCAAGTCTGTGACGTCGGAACGTGGCGACAGTGACGCACTGCCATTTTCCGCCGCCCCCGCCAAGGTGGATGTTTCCGATGATGGGCCAGGCGAGCCTATAGCTACGGGGACAGGGAGAGGAGCGCAACCCGGGGACACGAGTGGTGCGGACTCATCGTCACTGGGCTCGTCGCGAGCAGGGCTGCGCTCCCGCGAACCACCGCCGCGCGACATGATCTTATCCTTGAGGCGCGACAAGCGCTCCGCCGAGCTGACCTTGCGAAGTATTTCCGCGGTGCGACGCAGGCCCCGCAGCTTGAGGTCGACGATGGGCGAGCCGGTGCGCGTGGAGTCCTCCACGGATAGCGAGCGCGCGGCCAGGCCGGCCACGTCCACTGCGTCTTCCGGAGCCACCAGCAGGGAGGAAGGGCGCGAGCGGGGTGCAGGGGCGGCGCGGCGCGGCACGTCGTCGAGGCGTGCGGTGCGGGGGCGCGCGCTGAACGTGATCTGTCCGTCGGAGTCGGAATCGTCCTCGTGCTCGACGTTGAATGTGACGGCAGGTGGGTCCCCAGTGACGCGTCGTGCGCGGAAGGAGCCCCCTCCCTTGAGTATGGATGGGTCGCGACGCAGAGGGCGCGGGCTGCCGGCCGGGGTGCCGCATACTGAGGATGCGCCCACTCGTAGCTGGAGCACGCTCTCCTCGTCTGAAACATATGCTTTCATGTATTAAGCCGGAGAAGGCTAAATTATTAAATGCCTTAGGTTCAAAGAGAGTATAGGATCGAGGTCGGTAAAGGACAGGGTAACCGGCGCATTGCGCTGGCGCTGAAATACCTACTCTGCGGTCGACCCGTTCAATTTTGAGTAGCTCGCGGTGCTGCCTAGAAAGTAACGAGGGTCCAAAATCAAACTACGATCTGTAACTATTGTATATTTATTTATCCGTAAATAGTGGAAATGTTTGCCTAAAAGAAGGAATAATACAACAGGTCTAGAAATACAGCTAAAAGGACCGTCAGTGACCAAAATATATCACAATTAAAATATCCTTAATTACATAGAATATTCAAAATCCTATCTACTTAGCAATTGTCTGTAAACTCCTACACTAAAGATATGCTACAAATGACAACAATAATCTTATTTTAAAGATTCTCAATACAATCAGTACAATCAACTACTCTCAAAGGAATCTTAAATCGAACTAACTTAAATTAACCATCGACGTGGAACTTCTAAATTGTACATAGAAATAAATTGGAATTGTGGTCTGTATCATAAAATGAAAATAATATAGATGGCACAGGATATGTTTCATTCAAACATATTAAATTAAACAATCGTTTTGGTCACTTGATTCTAAAATGACCATGCTTCTTATTGTATATACGTATGGAATAATTACAATGAATAAAATGAAGTATAAGGGCACAGCCTACATTACTAACAAAAATGGCAATATGTACTGGAATGCTGAATAAAATAGTAGCCAATTCTAACAAACAATCCGCTTTGGAGTATCGTACGTAATACGTAATTATACTATTTGCACAAACTAGAGATCACGTATTTGAATTCGTATAACCAATCAATATTACTGTATGTGGTACAATGCTGGAGTGACCATGACATAAGGTTTAAAGTTGCCTTCAAGGTTTCTATTGATTCTGTTATACAGCATGACACCTCTCTCCCAAATTAGGGGATAAACATAATAATGGAGATTGCATATAGATTGGTATTTCTATATAATTAAATAGTTACAAGTAACAAATAGTATAATACAGTATTCACTACAGCTTAAGGTGTACAATTAGCAAATTGCGAACAAATAAATTAATGCGAATACATCGATTTCAAATAATACTATAATACTTTTTCTAATACAATTAAACAGGAAATATGCACAGTAAACAATTAGGTACAGGAACAATAAAACTAAATTATTTGAGTCTCATGAGTTAGATGCATATTTCTTATTCGACTTTAATTAGCTTACTGCAATCTATTACTATAATCACAACGCCAATTGTCTTTTCTATGTTTCATGTGCACAAACATTATAAGTAATATCAATTTATTACATTTATAAAGCAATCATGCTTAGAATTATTATTTGGAAAGCCATGTGTATTGCGAAGCAAATGTGGCTCAGGCTTAAATACTTAGCTAACAAATTAAATAATTCTGAAATTGAATAAATAATTATCATTATTTTGGCACACGTTTAAATGCCATAGCAGCGAGTATGCTTAGAAGAATAAATGATCACTCATCTCGAAGTATGAGTGCAGGGTGGTCTTCACATACGTGTTGCTTGTTTACCGACTGGTACTTTCTTAGTTTCTTACTGAGGCGTAAGGCAAGTACCGGTTAGCTCGACGCTGGATGTAAGCTCAGCGTGAGGCTTACAGGAACACATCATCGGTGAAGTTGACGACGACATGGTCGCGCCGCGTTTCTGGCTCGTCAGCAGGCACGGGTGCGGGAGGGAGGGGAGCAGAGAGTGGGAGGGCTTCATCCCCTGGGGAGGGAGAGTGTGGCGGGTACTCGCAGATGGTGCGGAGGGGCTCACCTGGGTGGGAGGGGGGCTCCGACTGTAGCACGTCCTCGAGGGCCTCCTCGTTTAGTGTTTGGAGCGCGCCGCAGATCATTTGCTCCTCCAGAGTTACCTGCCGCCAAACGTTAAATGTTAACACCCAACAAGCAAAATCTACAATACTGAAGTAGATAACTAAAAACATTCAATGATAATTTCTAATGATACTATTTTTTGTGTCCTTGACATTTACAAATAAAAATAAATTAACATGACAGCTACAGGGTTAAAATTACACACACAATCATGGACAAATTGTGTAAAATATTAATAATATGATATTATTATTCTACAATAAATACTTTGGGTTTTGGGTAGAAGTTATACATTTACAAGTGCGATTTCAAAGTGAGTAAGACCTTACAGTTACTGGTTCCCGGCATAAAACGTAGGTAACAATTTTAATTGTGTAAATTTATTTATGAATTATGAAAGTACTAAATCACTAGTAATTTTAAAAGTGTTTTACCGAAAACTGGCCACTTTCATGGGCAGAACAAGCAAACGCAAGATTTTTTTTTTCATTTTGCATTAAAAATTCATATATGTTCCCTAAAGTGTATAATAGGAACCAACAGTAGTACACACACAGACTATTTATATATTTGTGTTCAAATTCATAATGGTGCTTGTAAAATACTTTGGCAAGTGCTCTAGTATTATAGTAGAGAAAATATAATGTGTGTAAAAATGACAGTGCTCTAAATGAGATCTAAATAATTGTGTGGTAATGTTACAATAATCACCTGATACTCCGCGTAGGGCTGTAAAATATACGATTCATTAATATCTAGCTGGAATCTAGCATTTCTACTAATACGTAGCACCTAATATTAATACCTGTGACTAGCCCACCCTGTACGACTTTATTAGCATGGCGATATTAATAATATTACTAGAATAGGGTAGTTTCATAGATTTTATTTTAATGTCCGTCTGGTACATTAATTTAAAACTTTAGACACGTATTTTTTTCTTTTCTCACAAAATTAAATACTTTCGACGATATACTTGAAAAATCGTGTGACGTTACAGCGTGTCACATTTTGTAGCACGTTATGACGTAACAACCTACCACTCCTAAACTTAGCGCCATTTCATCTAAGCATTGCAATTTAATACGAGAAAATAAGAAAATACGTGCCTAATATTGACGGACTAATTACATTTTTAATTTTGATACCCTGGAAACTACCTAATTGTATCTAATCAAGCGCCTAGAGTTAACATGCGGAATGTATAGCAGTCTTGGATTACGCGGGGCCCTAGGGTACACAATAATTCAGGGCCCTCATAGAATGTTTGTTTGTTTTAACGTTAACGTTGCCCCACATTAGGATTTTCTCCTGTATCGTGGCCCACGATTCGTGGGTGCATCTACAAACATAAAAGTTTACATACACATGACACCCAGACCCGAAACAACAATTTGTGGAGTACACAAAGATTTGCTGCGTGCGGGATTCGGACCTGCTACAAGTTGCGCGACAACCGGTTGCCGCGCAATGTGTAGCACGTGTGGCGCGGTATGTCCGTCGTACAAATTGTCGGTCCTTCGAGGTGCCCTGGGCATCGGGGCTCTGGGCACGAGTGCCCCTGTGGTAAAGACTATACTGTGCATAGCAATAAATGCCGTGGAAGGAACCTAGAATTTCTAATTACAAGATGGAAAGAAGCCAATTTACTTATGGACCCCTCTTATGTAGAGGAAGCCCCTAGTCTTTTCAGTCTGTCATGTGCTGTTGATGTGTGTTTGGTATAATGATATTAATTATATTCCTACATAGCAAACAATTCACATAGTACTTTTACCATTTATTATCTTCTTTTTGTGTATCACATAAAGGCGTTATATTTTTTTTAAGTTGCACATTATTGTAATATGAATAATTAGTAGTCTAACAAAAAACGTAGCGCAATTTCAATTGCAGGGTGCAATTGATCTATATATATATCAATTGATTGATATGTGTATATATGAAAACTAGTTTTACTACAATATTTTTAATTTCTTACATCATTCGAAATTTTCTGTACATTCCTAAAATTATCTACGAAAGAATTGAGCAAACAGTAAATAACATTGATAAAGAATTCTTTAGTTAATATTGAATTTTCCTCCATTCCTTATCTACAAACTAACATTACGCTGTTTGGTTTCGAATTAATATCTTGGCCGGAAAAAGGACATGTCTTATGTAAATAGATATTATGTATATAGTGTACATTATGTACATACCTGTTTCTCAACATTTGAAGGTCGACTGCGTTGTGTCTCTAGTGTGTGTCTTGGTGGCTTTGTAGACGTGGAGTCGATTTCTGCTTCTGCCGATTTTTCAGACATTACTGAAACAATTAATGAAGGAAGATTATTAATTTTATAGTCAAAATATCGCAAATATAAAGCTGAAGAGTTTGTTTGTTGGAACGAGCTAATCTTAGGAACTACTGGTGCGATTTGAAAAGTTCTTTTTGTGTTGGATAGTCCATTTATAGAGGAAGGTCCATTTATACAGGCTATAAAACATCACGCTACGATAAAAAGCACCGAGCACAGCGGCTGAAATTGCGCGGAAGTAACTAGTTTGAAACAAAGGGAGAGCAATTTATTGTATTACCATACATTTTAATGAGCAGTGTGCCAAACACGATTATATGTATATCGCATTCGTAACGTAATAGTATCGGGCGCGTGTGGCGCTCTGATTGGCCGGCTCCATTGAACCAACCAATTACAGCGCCGGACGCACTCGATACTATCATATTACGAATGCGATATTAAAACTTATTCGTGCTTGGACCAAGTTCTTACTTACGTTTGATGTAACTGAAATTCTCTTTTCTTAGCTTTCAAGCAGATTTTGCCAACCTCAACTTTAACGATTTCATTAAAAATTCGTTCAGAAGCCTTAGTACGAGTTTGATTTACTTTTAAAGTAATCGTAACGAGTACGCGTTCGGCGTTGTGATTGGTTGGTTCATTGGTGCCGACTACTTTAAAAGTAAATCAAACTCGTACTGAGGCCTCAGTTATTTACGCATAAAATCTTTTTCCGATCATTATATTAGAAAATATTCTTACCAGCTACCGTTGGTACTGTCGACGGCATATTAGCTTCTAGCTCACGTAGATTCACGATAAGCAGTTTGAATAGTTCCCAATCACCAAATGGGAGTTCTAGAATCTGTAAACAATTTAATACAAAGTTTAGTGATGTAAATGGTGTTGATATTGTATGGTTACTATAATATGAGTTGTTTAGGCAAATCTTGTATACAATTTTTATAAAACGAAGCTTCTAAATGACTGAACAATCGTTGACTATCACCTGAGTACTGAAACGCTCGAAATGGAAATTCTAAGTTGTACTTGAATATCGTGCCATCGCTGTCATTTTACAAAGAATTTGTAATGACAGAACAATACTTAAGTGCGGTTTGAATTTGAGTGGCGTTTGAGTATTCGGGCGTATGCACTGTATTTATATTAGCAACATTATGTCATTTGCGCATTTCAAAAACATCATGATATAGTTCACTTTTGGATTATATGGCCTACATTTCTTTCTTTCTTTCTTTATACTACTCTGTCAAGAAAGTACCGGGAAAAGATCAATAATACACAAAATGTCTGTTATTATATATCCAAATTTATTTTATCACCTTCAAAGTATGATCCTTTAGAAACGATTACACTTGCACCAACGAATAATCCATTATTCAAAATATTTTTTTAATGCTGCTTCCGGAGTTGATTTCAGTTCTCGCTGCGGATTCTCCTTTATGTCTTCTATCGATTGAAAACGGGTGCCACGAATTGGTAATTTGAGTCTAGGAAAAAGAAAAAAGTCAGCAGGAGCCATATCTGGTGAATATGGTGGTTGCTAGATGGCATTTGTTGAGTGCTTGGTCAAAAATTCGTTCACAATGATAGCCTTGTGCGAAGGCGCATTGTCGTGGTGCAAAATCCAAGAATTTTCTTTCCACAAATCTGGCCTTTTTCGTTGAATTTGCTCTCTTAAACGCCGCATAACGCTCAAATAATATTCTTTATTTATCGTTAGACCTTCCGGTAAGAATTCAAAGTGCACAACACCACGATAGTCAAAGAAAACAGTCAAGATGACTTTGAGTTTTGATCGACTTTGGCGTGGTTTTTTCGGTTTCGGTTCAGTTAGAAGGCGCCACTTCGAAGCTCGTTGACTAGTTTGCATGTCAAACTCGTAAACTCACGTCTCGTCACCAGTAACAATGCGTTTCATGAATGTTGGGTCCGAACTGACTCGATCTAGGATGTCTGACTTTCATGCGATTGAGTTTTTGGAGAATATTCAGATCTTTTGGGACTAGCCGAGCAGCAAAATGTTTCATACCCAAATTAGTTAAAATGGTACGGATCGACCGTGAGATACAGAAAGTTCGGCGGCTATCTCTCCCAGAGTTGAATGGGGATTTTCAGTTACTATTTTCTTCACTTTTGCGATGTTAACTAAAGTTGCAGACGGTGACGGCCTACCAGAGCGAGGCAAATCTTCCATCACGTCTCGACCGCTTTTGAACGCTTTGAACTCATAAGCACGAGTTTTTGATAAAGTCGATTGGTGAAAGGTAAGCCTTCTGTAACATTTTCAGTGACCCCGAACACGAAATTCCATTCGCGATGCAAAATTTAAGACAAACTCTTTGTTCGATATTTTTGTTCATTATGAAATTCGCAATACACACTATATATGATTTACTAAAACCAGCACTGTATTTAATATAAATAACAGATGCAACTCAAACTCCGCGCCAAAATGGAAAACAGTTGTACTAATCTAACAACTACAAAAAAAAAACAAATATTTGAATTTGGAACCATAAACAAATCATCCATTCCCGATACTTTTTTGAGTGAATGTATTTGCGCACTTGTTGGCATAAATTTTGAGGATTTAGTGTTGACTTTAGTCATAGGTCTGAGTGGGTGATCCGATAGAAGTAATGAAAGCAATCTCTATACCGTACCGGTTCCAGGTCCTGCAGCCTGCAGACGGCGAGCACGAGGCCGCAGACGTTGTGTTGGGCGAGCTGCGCGGCGCAGTGCGCGGCCGCCGCGCCCAGCGCCTGCCGCACCACGCCGCACACGCGCTCCACGCTCAGCGACGACAGCCGGATGTTGGACACGTCCGACTGGAACACACTCCGGCATAAACATACTACTCACACCGTATCTTGCTATTTTTTTATATTACCTATTTATTTATCATTTGTACATGTACGCCATACAGCAGACAATATTATAAAGGACAACTGACACATTACGAGCATGGTTTAACATTACGAGGTATATAGTACTGCATTTTCCTTAAGGAATTTCTTCCTGCAGACCCGCGACAGGAAAAGGAGTATAGACATCAGACACAGTGTACAAGCTACATGCAAATGACCGAAATATATTAAAGGAGGAAGTCTAATTTTCTTTTTTAAATCATATGCCAGTAATCTTTGACCAATGTTTTGGATAAGAAAATTAGTATTTCTCAAACAATGATTCTCTTCTAAGATAGCAACATAAATAAAAGAAGAAATGTTTAACATTAGCTACAAAAAAATAATCATGTACTTACCAAACCAGGGAACGCAGTCTTCAGCATATGGAACGGATTCTGTGTTGGTTGCTGTGGTAGTGGTGGCTGAGCTGGTGGTGGTGGTTGTTGGTACTGTGGCGGGGGGAATGGTTGAGAGTTGATGGCCTGGGGCACGAACCCCGCGCTAGTGTTGGCCCACCCTACCCACATCTGCTGAGCGGGGACCGGACCTGCCGCCGCCGGCTGGGTCGGTGGAGACGAACGCTACAACATGTTTAAAGATGGAAATGTGGATTTTTGTTGTATTTTGTAGGTTTATTACAGTTATATATCAGAGTAGTTTTTATTTCAAGTACTCAGTGACGAACTTTCAAATTGAAGTGTTCATTTGGTAGATTCATCATGTTATTTGTTTCGTTCAAACTTGAAGCATTTTGGTAAATTATTGATAGATATATTGAAGATTTTGGATTAATTTTGTTAATTGTTTTGTTCTATTGTAGTCAGAGTATTTTATCTTATAACGAATGATAATAATTCATTGTTATAGTGAACAAGGAAATTAAAAAAGGACATATTCTCTTGAAACGACTGTGGCACCTGGCGACTATAGAGTTACATGCAGAACATAAACACATTGACACATAGGACATCTGTCATTCTCTTAAGGCTGGTAATGTGGTAATCCGTTACACACATACATATAAATAACCCACTGATATTCTGGACATTATGTCTGCCCTTTTATCAACGTCCTTGACAGTGAATGTAAAGTTCAATATTTTCTGAACAAAGTTTGCATTAACAACGAACTTGCCCTTCTTTGTCCAACGGAGAAGAAAACGGATGTTGAGTAAAATAAATCTTCCATTTCACAAACAAATGCTGACAATTCTTATTGTAATGTAGTTTAAAAGCAACATTTCGGTAAAAGTTTATCGATGTAAACATTTTAAAGAAATCACCTTCAAAGCACGTGTTTAGAACAAATAAATACGTTCAAGTTATATTTAGCGGATTCGAGATTTAGTTGACCTCGTTTTTAAATGATACGTAGATAAAATTAGAACGTTTGGTATGAAACAGTAGAAACGTTGTAGATTAAGTGTTTAACTCTTATGTATAATATTTTATGTTATAGAACTCTGATTTAAATTTGAATTAATAAAACTTTTCAATCAGTATTATAATATACTCGTTCTTTGTCACTATGAGCCTAATAACTGATAAAAAGAAATGGTATACGATTTGGTTAGAACTTTTGTGACAGATTGAACTGTCACACACCGGGAGGACACCGGTGACCGCAACCTATTGTTCTTTGTGTCTGTAATGACGGTACCCAAAGGGTTAAATGAATATAAATGAATGTAAACGATCTTACGTGTTTCCTAGGGAACAGTTTGGAGTGTGGCTGCCTCGAGTGCGGCTGTCCCCACGTGAGGCCGGCCGCGCCGCCCGCGCCCGCGTCTTCCTCCACTCCACTTTGCATTTGTTCCTCTGTAATATACAAGATAAATGAACAATTATTGAAATTGTGATATTTAATTACAACACGTAATAATGGATGACAGAGATGTAGTCTCAAGTGGACAAAGATCTCCATATTTGCTCATTGGAGATTTCAAAGTAGTTTCTTTTTCATGTTTTATTTTGATTGTGGCGTTTAAATAATAATACCCGGATTCACAAATCCTCAAAAGACCTTCACCGCACTTCTTACTACTCTGTTAACGATAAGGTGATGCTGCGTTAGCCGTTTATTCCATAAAAATGATCATCTTGGGAAAAGTTACACAGATAGGGCCCCAGTCAGAATAAGCCACAAAAATCATAATAATTAGCTTGGAACTTAAAGTTTTGAGGAATTACCTTTGATAAGCTTCTTGATGTAAGGATCCAGGTTGATGGTGAACGGCAGGAATATCTTGAGATCTGCAGCAGTAAGGGTGGCGCGGTGGAAGCTCAGGAACACTTCCAGTTTACGCTCATCACGGTCCAGCTCCATCAATGTACTGGCTTCACGAAGACCGCTCATTAGGGGTTTTACTCTGTCAGATTGAAAAAGTATTGTTAAAATTACATTATTGATAAAATGTAAGATATATCGAAGCATGAAGTTAAATATCTGGATCAGGTTTTAATTGACTGTTTCTATTTCAAAATTCTTATTATGACGCGACTTATTGAGAATACCCAAGACATTTTAGAAAAAGGTAAAGTGAGTAGCAGTGCTTAACATAAGCAAACATGCAAGGGCTTCTAATTGATGCAAACCTTTCATCGATTATTGGAGTATTTATGTTAAAGGGACTTACTTTTCATAAATATGTTTGAGTGAGGTGGAGTCATCGATGTGTTCCTCATAAGTCTCGTGGTGGTAGATGATCCACGACGTGCGGAATGGCCACTGCTCCGTCAGGTTCACCCACGACGCCAGCTGGTACCAGTTGAACTCTATTTGGAAGGCCTTTAGAAGACGTCCTGCGGAGAAAATATGGTTGAGCTATAAATATCTAAGCATATTAATATGCGAACTTCAATTTCATTCTTACATGGCTTGTAGTTGTTGAATTGAGCCAACTTTTGCAAGATGACTCAAGTTGACTTTGGCAAGATGTTATCAGAATATAGTGAACAATTTAATGTTGAATTGTACTAACGTAAGACGGCAGTGTAACAAAAAGCAGGAACCCGATATAAAACTGCATTAAAAATTATACTTTAGCTAAAGTTAGTTAAATAAATAAAACATACTTAAATAAATAGTCTAGTAGAATAATAAGACGAAATTAAACACATAAGACATTAAAAAAATATCTCACCAGTAACATACAGCACGTTCATGAGCCGCCTCATGCTCCTGGGGTTAACATCACTGAAGTAGTCATCAGTCAGTAGCACCCTGTTGAGGTCGGCGGCCCCCGCGCCCGCCACGCCCCCCGTGGCGCCCCGGTGTAGCCCGGAGGCCACGGACGAGGCCACGGACTCCGAAGGCCGCAGACGACGTTCTCGCGCCGCTTGACCTTTGATACGCTCTTGACTTGACATGAGCTCCGATGTTGAAGATAGGCGGCGTGCTGATACCTTTGTTTTATGAAAGAATTTTTATGTTAGTGATATTGTTTTATGCATGGTTCAGTATATTTTTGGTTATTGGCTTTAACGAAGTGAGTAGTTAAATATTGCTTAATCTCGTTGAATTTATGATTATAAGAATGTAAGCAGCAAAATGTGTAGAACATGACAACATTCTCATGTTTGTGACCTACAAAATAAGATGAAACCACGTGTATTAAACAGGCATTTTTAAGCTAGATTATCTATACGAAGAATAATAATTCATAACATTGCCTCTTTACATTGCCCAAGTGACAACGACTGAGAGAAAATTCTGTACCTCATTTGAGTCATAAAAACAAATATTTCCTAACAAAACTACTTACAGATCTCTGCAGCGACGTAGAAAAGTCATCAGCCATGATGACTTGCATCCTTCTAGCAGCAGTTTGTTGAGCAGTCTTTACTCTGCGGAGCGCTGAGTTCTGGAGGTAGAACGGTAGCTGCACCATGTTTCGAAGGTAGTCCCATCCTCCTATGTTGCTCTCGCAGAACGCTCGCCGACTGTTTATTTCCACTGCCTACTCGGAATAGTGTGTAAATATGTATTATTATGCGTGTAATGGTATAAGGATTAGGTTTATTTTTTAAAATATATGTCATGTGTACGTAAGTCTAATTTTAATGCAACAATTATTAACAACATGTAGATTCATGTCCATCTATAATTAATTGAGGTATAATATGATGTACAAAAAGATAAAAAAGAAAGATTTTTAAAAACAATTTAACTTTTTTTAAAATGTATGCATAATTAAGTTTTTTTTAGAGAGTATGGGATAAGATAGATTTTCATAGAGAATGGATCTTCCTACATGTTTGTATTATGTACAGTAGACAACAAGGTATATTTTTGTCTAGCAAGTTATACACACCATCAAAATTGGAAATTGATACTATGGGACACGTATGGAATTGTAATATCTACGCGTTGCTAGATACTTAGTTGTAATGTAATCGGTTCTGTTTATTGTATGACTTTTATGTATACAGTATTAATTAAAATAGAATCAATGACATTAAATACACATTTTATAGTTTCATTTTAAATTATTTAATTTAATATTGTAAATTAAGTAAAAAAAACTGTCGCGTGAAAAACAAAATCGTGTTTATTACTGTTTTTGTTTAAAAAGTAGATAAACATGATTTTGTCTGGATACCATAGAAAATGAAAAAAAAAACAACAAATTTTCACGAAAAATCCTATCAGAATGTCATGCAACACAGAGTAATGACTAAAATATACAATACATCTTATAGTTTGTATCTGAAGAGATCATGCAAGAACATGATTGTAAACAAAGTGGTTGAGTCCGCAGTCATTTTTACACCCAATAGACTTTAATTAAAAAAAAATTCAATAAAAGAAGGAATAGTCATGCAGCTTCATTGTCTTATCTATAATCCACATTTCTGTTTTTCATACGTGTGCTAATAATAGTACATAAACTATTCGTTGTCCACCTAGATCAATTATTATGAGTCCCGGTGTCCCTCGAAACTTGTCGGGCATTCTCAAATGGTTTATGTGCATTGTACATATTTTATTAAAAAAGTTATATTTAAGTATGACTACGGACTTTTAGTAGAGGGGATCGACAAATTGGCACAACATCGAGGTCCAAGCTAACATAGGGAAGATATACAAGGTAAACACCAAACACAACATAGTATATCACGACCTTGACTGACTAACCTCCATCCAAGCAACCTGCATGAAATTCATAATACTAGTAAGAAATCTTTCATTTTCAAACTAAACTATGCTTAAACTAGGGCAAACTGTTGTTGAAAGAACTATGAATGATGTGGAGATGAATAATTAATAATATTGAATTATATCTTATAGAAGTTGTTTTTGTTTATTTTATTTTAAATATTAGTTATAGGTAATGTAAACTTGAGATAGTAAGACCTCATTGTTCAATTATGGATTTTATAATGCGAATAGTAATGGTTTTATAATAATCTTTAAACTCGATAAAGTTGATATTTTAAAACATTTTACATGTTCGTTACTCTTTGTCATTAATAGTTTTCGGCATTTGAGTAAATGTCTAAAGGCCAATTTTTCAATCATCACCTCTTAACTGAAGAATAAAATTATCATTTTTTAGTAGGGAAGAATTGTCAAATATTCAAAGTTAGTTCTCAGTTATATTTGACAATTATTATTCTTCCATATCTACTAAAAACTGCCAAATGCCAACTTACTATTGTACAGTTAAGAATTTACTGATGATAGAATAATCGGCTCTAAGAGGGCCAACTAGGTTGTAGACATTTAAATCTACTATTTAGATAATTTGAGGTTTTCACTAAAATTAACGATGGAATATTTCTAAAAGTAAATGGGTTACTATAGCATAATATAAATGTAGATTTTAATAAAATAGTATTCTCACCTTGCTGATAATGTGTGGGTCTATGGCTAGAAGTAGTATGAAGGGGCTCTTAGGGTCGGAGCAGAGAGCATGGACGGCGTTCAGTAAAGCTAGCACCTTCTCTTGTTCGCAGCTGTCTAAGGCGTCCACTACCACCACTAGGCGGGTCTGCTGGCCGGTGAACGCGTCAAGACACGACACCTGAGGAAATTACAAATGGAAGTGAGAAATTATAATAACATATTTTTTACATTGATCAGTTCATTATTTCCAAAAATCTTATTTGATTACTAAGAGAAGAGGCATCGTAAAAAGTCAACATATACCGGAATTTCGCAAATGAATAAACATTATAGAAAACATTATTTGATATGACTGTTTCGACATTTGTCATACCTACATTCAAAAAATAAAAGCGTACAGAGTTTGTAGTTCACCTTTTTATACTATTTATTGTCTTGTATGTATAGTATTGTTAGTGATTGTGTACACATTATTTTATAGTACAGTAACGATATGCGAGTAAGAGAAGTAGTACATACCACATGCGTCAAAGCCTGGACCTCAGGCCTCAGCCCCGCCGGAGAAGACGCAGCAGCCCTCGCGAGCCTGGACCTCGGCGCGCGGACGAGCGCGGCGAGCACTCGCGCGCACGTGTATAGGTTGGCGAGCAGCGCGGCGCCGCTCACTGCGCAGGCGCCGATCATCAGCCCCTGCTGGATCTCCCGCCGCCTCAAGGACGACCCTCACTCATTGAGCCGTCGGATTCTAACTCTTACTTATAGCACTCAGCTAGATTTCTATCTCATTTATTGATCTTGGATCTCAGCTTTAGGCTCACTCTCTACAGGGGACTTACAACGTAACTGGTGCTTAATTCATAACGTACATGCGCATCTCTGTCTAAGCCGATTGTTTACTAATAACTAACGATTATTCCGATATTGAATTTTCAGTGATAACATTGGACTCCCATTTGATACTATAATTCTCACACCCGATTAGGAACACAACTATGAAAAATGTATACTTCTAATGTTGTTTACTTTGCATTCAAGAATTGAATATTTTCAATAACGTTTAATAATCTCTTCTATGCCATAGAAGATACTAGATGTCCAATGGAGGATTTGTCTTTAATTAATACAAGTTATGTGACAAAAGTTTGCAATATAAAAATAAACTCACTGTGGGTCAGGATCTCTGTCCGTTAAGTACATGATGAGCACGCAGAACCCGACGATAATGCAGGTAAAGCACAACTCGAATGTAATTATGTGAGGTATACAGCAAACTCGCCGCCACCTGAGGAGAACATTATTTAATAAATTCATGTCCTTTCGTCGTACAGAACTTGTTCGCAGTTGCACGACTAAAAACTTTAATAACTATTAGAGTAAAATATAGGGTTGACGCTGAATCTGGTTGGGGTCTACTTTAGTTTGATTCGTATCTACATTTCCTGATACATTTTATTATTATACTGAATAGATGATGTATTGTAACACGAGGTATCCGATAAAAATATTTGTACATATATAACCTCAAACTTTTCACATAAATATTTGTGTTAAAACAAAACGTTATAAAATGACAGATTTAGCACGATATCATTATTCAGTTTGTGAATGGTAGATGAACTGTGCTTCATTTAACAAATGAAAAATATTGAAAAGAATAATGAAAATGACGACAACTTACTTCCAACCAGACGTAGACGATACAGGTTTAGGTCGGAAGGCCCTTGCTAACCGAGTGCATATTCTCCCGTACTGACACTCCAGCGCCTCACCCAAACTCGCTATCATTTGAACCACCATTGCCTCTCCCTCCTGACCTCCTCCGCTTTTCATGCCTTCGGTGAAATGAAATCTGGAAACGCATTACAGTATGTTAATAATTGTTTGGAAGAAATAAGAAAGAAAGAGGCAAGAGGCCTCATTTAGAACCATAACTTCATACTTGATAGACGTGTAGCTAATTTAACAAAAATTATCCAAGCAACATTTCAATAAAAAGAAAATCATGATTGCAAGTTCTCCAAGAATGACTGCAACAGTCCCATGTGCCGGTATAATTTTTTGAGACAAAAAGATTGTTTGCCGAACAATATAATGTTAACTTTTTTATTTAGTTTCTGTGCCTCGTCTTTGCCTGAAGGCTGTTCCTGAATCTAGACAGTTGTGCAATTAACTATTGTACTTACCTAATAGGTGTCGCTGGCAACGCCCTAGGGTCGTTAGGGCCCGGTGGGTGACAGAATACAACCTGCAGCGCCAGTAACAGTGAGCTGAACTTACGACCCAGAGCCGATAGTACTCCTCCCGCCCACCACCACTCGTATCTATTCACAAAACAGTATTATAACAACATACTCCAATATTATGAAGCATAAATCATCTACATTATATTATTATGTATTGTAATAAATTATAATAAGAAAATTCATGATTTATTATCAACATCAAATAAGTAAATAAGTTCCTGGATTATAGAGGACATTGCTCCCAATGTTTAGGAGTTCAATGTTTCTGTAAACTAACCATTGCCAAGAAAAACAGTTCGTCTATAAACATCTACCTACAATATACAGGTATACGTAGTAGTACAAATGGTGAAGATTTCAGGTACACATATAGTTGAAATAATGAACTCTTTCACAGCTTCATCTTTGCACTTTGAGAAGACTATTTGTTTTTATACAGCTACTTCATAAGGTTCATAAGGTTATGTACCTAATGCCAAATTATTTACGCAGTTACTTTTAAATGACCAATAGTTTTCATTTAGCTACTTTAGAACAAAAGTTATATTTGTGAAGACTCACTTATTTCCAGTGTACCATAGTATATACAGGGCTATGTATATGAAGGCGAAAAGCGCGAAGCAGAGCCCTAGCGCGATGTAGGGCGGCGCCCCCGCCACGGCCGCGATGGCCGACGCGGACAGCGCTACGTGCCACGCGCCCCACCACACCGCCCACGACCACGCCCAGCCCGTCTCACTCCATTGTCGGGCAAAATTCTTCATCTCCTCTGTAAATACCGACATCGTACTTAAGCATTTGATTCTCAACAAAGTCTTTATTGGAAAGTCACTAGGTTTCAAAAGATTGATCAATGGATCACCATGTAGTAAATGAGATTCATAATACCTATATTTGCTATAAACCCTAGTTAGTAAATTCTAGAAGGTGGAGGTGAAAGGTGGGTGTTAGATTGTATGTGTATGTTCTGCCGTGCACCTCGTGCTACTCCTTCGGCGATTAAAGATGTGACTTTATGCTATCGATGAAAATTAATGTAAATATTGACACATGAATGTAAAAGGCACAAGTTTTGTGCTGCAAACTTACTAGATTAACTTTGCCGATTACAACTTCTCGTTGCACATTCTAGAAAGCTCTAGAAAAACATCTGGTTTATTTTCTAAGACAAAAATAGATTGAACTGAATATTTCACAGTTCACCTATAATGAGCCAAACATATCGATACAGATTGTATATAATCCACCGGAAAATAGTAGGTGTGATGAAGCGCTAATTGATTTGTAGGGTCTTATATATAAATATTTAATGATTTATTTTGAAAGGTATGTTGTGACAGGGTGGGCGTGCCAACTAAGACGCATTTTAATGACGTGCCAACATAATGGTCTTAAGGAACGTTAAGCATTCTAGGATTTTATATATAGTAACGTCACAGATGAATTAGTCACACATTATGTAATGCGTATATTGTTTACCTATTTTGACATTACGTATCGATATTGACGGACGTCTTTTTCTCAAGCGTGATTACTGTTATGCTTACAACGTAGTAGAACAACATATTATACTTAAAGTATGATTGTTGATATCGTTAGAATTATACCTAATGATTAAGAATTAGTGTTGCGTGTCAAATTTTATTATTATTATTTAATTATGAGGAAAAAGGAGGACTGCCTCGTTGGTCAAGTTGTCGTAAGTGAGATTGCCAGGGATCTCAGGTTCGATTCCCGGGTTGGGCAAAGTATTACTCCGGTTTTGAAAAAAACTCAATAGTAGCACGGAGTCTGGAATTGTGCTCGGTATATAGCAATAGGCTCACCCCTTATTATATGGGACTCATAACATAAATAGTGAAAAGTGGATGTTACATTGTACAGTGGCATCAAATGCCATAATTGGCCCCTCTGCCTACCCTTTCGGGGATAGAAGGCGTGGTGTGTTGTTATGTTATGGGGAAGAAGGATAATAGACTTACCTTTAAGTTTATTGAGCAAAAATGATTTCCCTGATCCCCATCGAGCGTATAGTCCGACAGTTATAGGTACCGAAAGGCTAGGTTCAGACAGCATGTCGGCTAGTGCAGCACTATACAATTCATACCCTAACATATTCTCATTGTCTTCATTAGTATTCAACTTGCGGGCGCCAAATATCTGTCCTAATATCGTCTTATTGTAACTCATATCTATATTGTAAGGCGTTTCATTCAATTTGTTCGGCTTATACAATAATTGACTGTTCTTCGGATTTCTTAGGAGGATCTCCACTATTTGCTGTAAAAGAAATATATAAAATTTACGCTGGAACACTGGAACACACTAAACAATAAATACTTGTAGTTATTAACTTGAAATATCATAGTTATGACGTCACAACATCAAGAACTCCCACTTCAGAATTTTATTGCATGTGAAACAAAAACAAATGTCTTTACTTTTTTCTCTATTTTTCTTGTATTTCTGTATGTATGTGTATAATACGTACATACATGTACGTTCGTGCGCAATTATCTTGCTATTAGAAAAGTGATTATTACACTAGGAGAAGGTATTTGGTTAAGTTTATTAATTAACCAAATACAAAAAAGAAGGGGGGACGCCGTTTTTTAAACGTAGTATTTTTTTTTAAGGGGGGAAAATCATCGAATGTCTGCTCCCGCCTGGGTGAGGCGGGAGGGAGTGTCAGACTCTTACTGAATAAGAACCATCCCGTTCCTTCTCCTGCACGTCAAGCCAGAGCTCCGGTAACCCGTTAGGTTAAATGTAGTATAAAATAATTATCTAGTTGATTGATTAAATATAAATATTATTTTCGTGTCAATTACATTATTACGTATGGATAACAATGTCAAAAATAAATATATGTCGAATAAATATATGTCGTGGTGGCCCGGAGGTTTAAGACGCCCACTTCTCATGCATGAGGGTGCGGGTTCGAAACCTACCAACGGCAAGTACCAATGTGACTTTTTCCGAGTTATATGTACTTTCTAAGATTATTTAGACACCACTGACAAACGGTGAAGGAAAAACATCGTGAGGAAACCTGAACTTATAATTTCTAATTATAAGTTTGAAATCGCCAACCCGCATTGAGCAAGCGTGGTGATTAATGCTCTAACCTTCTCCGTGTGAGAAGAGGCTTTGCTCAGCAGTGGGCATTTATAGGCTGTTGATGATGATGATGTATGGATAACAAGGAAATATGTTTGTACGTTGAACTGTGCCTCCATGCATTAATAGAAGATAGAATATAATAACACTAATCACTCAAGACGTGAACATGGTTTAATAAAGGAATTACTTGTTAATAATAAAATTACATATTTATATTTTATATACATTTTCCTGCTTGTTATCAAGCCAATTTTTATGAGTCCGAGTCCATTTTAATCTTAGAAAAAGGACATTATGATTTACACCTTGTCAATCGCTAGATAATTAATATTTGAATTCGAAGTTACAGAACAATTATTTTGATGTAACGACTCCTTTTGGTGACTTTGTATAAGGGAGTGACTTACCTTGTTTAGAGATAACGTTTCATATTAAACTCTTAGATAGAAATTCCCATTAAGATTTTGATAACCAGCGTCAACAAATTATGAGAAATATTTGGAAATGGTATGGCAATATAATGAAAATTGTAGTATACCTAACAACGTAGAAACTCATTATTACCTTAGACCTAGCTCTCATCGCAATATGCAGCGCCGTATCTCCCCTGATGTCAGCGACGTTGACGCGCGCTTTGCGCTCCAGCAGTAATTGTACCATTTCCGCATTACGAGAGCGCACCGCTCGCATCAGTGGAGTGTCGCCGCTCTGTATTGTACAATACATTAATCTTATACTAATAAATATATAAAGCTAAATAATTTGTCTGTTTGACCGCGCTAATCTCCGGGACTACCGGTCGGATTTGAAAAAATGTTTTTGTGTTGGATAGTCCGTTTATCGATGTATAGGAGCTGAGCAGGGCGGATAAAACCGCGTGGGAGTAAATAGGTAATTATGAATTGTAAACGTTAAGATGGCTTCGTTGATCGAGTAGTCGCAAATGAAAAGGAGTATAAATAACCCGACTTGTAGATAAGGTTTGAGTCGCATTTTTAAAAATAGTAGTTCACATAGCCCCTGTTAAAAAAGGAATAATAAATAACTGGTGTAAAGTGGGTGTAGTAAACAAAAGTAAATTTTTGGGATATTATAACCTTCTTCGGGATATAGACAGGGTGTAAAATTAGAACATAAGTCATGTATACTTTACATAAGGTTAAAGTAAGTTGATAATGAATCATAATGATATAATTATTTCTGCAAAATCGTGTTACCCGGGGGTTTTCCCAGTTTAATTGCATAACGTTACATACACATTGAATATGTACTTATTACAATGCAATTTATTACTACATGCTAGAGATATATATGATAAGCTTTTCCATAAGACAAGTACTAAGGAAATATTGATTTTGCAAGCAAGATAATCTAATTTCCTTATACATAGTCATAGTGTACATTGGAGGATTAATATTATCTTTTGTCTCAGTCAAGAAAACATGTAACAATAAATGGAATGCTCTCAATTTTACTTCACGAAAACTGTTTATTATGTAATAATCAAAATAGTATACTCAATACACAAATTCCACAAACAAATTTGAATCTTGATTCGATACAAACAAAACATCATTTCACATACCACAGTACTGTGTTCGAGGTCAGGATTGGAAGCTAGTAACAACTTGAGTATGGCTACATGTCCTTTCTCCGTGGCAGTGTATACTGGCGTCTTCTTCTCTTTGCCTGGCAGGTCTACATCCACATGTTTCTTTAGTAGCGCTTCCACTATATTCTTGTGTCCTGCTTTTACTGCGTGTATTAAAGGCGTGTCTTTTGATTGGTCCTAGAAGTAGAAAAATATAAGTATGTTATGCTGGGTTTTGTGTTTAGTGTGTGCGTAGAAGCTGTTAAGCAGTTTGCGTGTAGTTCGTGTTAGATTTTAAGATAATACAGCCAATACGAACTGAAAATTATAAAATATATTGTGCATAGCATAGAACAACATTCTTTAACACCATTTATAAAAAAGCTACAGTTTAGCCATAACACTATAAGAGAATTGTTTAGCTTGAAGAAAAGCTTTAGCAGATACAAAATACATAATAATAAGAGTACAGAGGCCAGCAATCAACCTACTCCAATCTATTATTTTTTTATTGATAATTAACAATAAATTTAAAAATCTAATAAATAAAGGCAGCAAGCATTAGGTTGACCTGCTGGCTACTTTATAAAGACACTATAATAAAGAAAATAAACGATTAATAAACAGATTAACAGTATAGAGGACAGAGTATATATTACCTGCACGTTAATATAAGCGCCGGAGTTAATAAGAGCCAAAGCAATATCGTAGTATCCCTCTTTACATGCGATGGCTAGCGCGGTGTACCCGTCCTTGTCTAGCGCGTTCACATTCGGCTTGTGTTCCAGCAGCATTTGGACGATCTCAAAGTGGTTGCCTGGAGATAGAAAATTCAATAGTAAGTAGAAACGTAAATTGATTATTTTTTGCAGATTAAGGCGGCAAAACGCCCATCATCACAACCGCAACACCAGAGAAGTTACAAGTGCGTTGCCCTCCTGTTTGAGGGGGAGGGATTGGAATGTTTTGAAAAAAAAAAGGTTTAGTCAAATTAGGAAATAGTACAAGAAGGAAATACACAGGCAGAATGTATAACAATTAGTCTGAATTGAGAAATTAATGTAGAATCTGATAATTATACAAAATTTTACATCTTATTGAATTTAGAGTACCTATAGGAAACAGAGAAAGCTTGTAATAACAAAATCCTTCTTCTAACTGTTCTCGTTCAGTCTAAACTTAGATATCCTTATATGAAGGTTCTACATATAAGTTACTATATATGTATGTGATTAGGAGCTGAATAGTTCCGCTTTGAAGTGTATCCGCTCCCATGTTTCAAGGGAGTCAATTATGTACCTACAGCTTCGTCGCATGGAAGCGACGGAAGGTCCTATACATGAAACATGCACTTCTAGTGCCAAACTGCACGTTTGCACACTATATCATATGCAAAAGTCAATTTTGGAAATGAACATCATGTGTGCAACTTCTGCCAAACGTTATAATTTATAGTGCATAACTAAAGGTTTCTTTGGATATGCTTTATGGCCAGTTAGTGTTGTCATAGTGGGACAACTATAAAATATGAAAATTTACTGGAATAGCTAACGACAATTTTCCTTCCTTCGAGATCCTATAAATCAATTCTAATTAGTAAAGGTTATCAAATAGATGTTCAGTGCAGTCACAAGTAGGTACAGATCTAAAATAAATCTGAGAATTTGTAATCTGTGTAATCACATCCAGTTATTGGAGACCATCAGCCATGTCTTGTTGACATGAGAGAAATAAAAAAAATAACTCCAATTTACAATATTGAGTAAACATATTTTTTATCCTCCTTAAGAAGACCTTTAGAAGTTTAAAAGTGGCTAAGGTTGGCTGGCAGGTCGGATTGGGTATTGTAGCAGTGCGCCATGAAATAGCATATCCAGTAGAAGAAAAATAAATGACGATAACACTGTGCTTCCCGGGTCGGTTAAACTAATAATGAGTTTAAAAAAAATGTCATTATTAGCACTGAGTCTGGAATTGTGCCCGGTATATCGCATTCGCAATAGGCTCACCCCCTATTACATGTGACTCATAACACAAAATCTTTCAATTATAATAGTGAATGAAGTGAGTGTTACATTGTACAGTTGCATTAAGTGCCTCTGCCTCTTAGAGGATAAAAAGGCGTGTAATACTATGAAGAGCTTACCATGTGTAGCTTGCAGTAGTGGAGTCCAGCAGTACATGCCAGCGGTGTTAGCATCAGCACCAGCTCTTAACAGTGCCGAGCATGACGCGACATCGCCAGCCCTTGCCGCCCATGTTAGCGCTGACGTGGCGTACTTGTCGCACGAGTTTGGCCGCGCACCTGCAGCCAATAGCCGCTGCACAACCCCACTGTGCTTGCGACCCGCCGCCCATACTAGCGAGCTGGAGAAAGATGATGCCATTTTTAAATTGCTTGGAACAAGCTTCCAGATATAAAGGTTGGTTCGTGAAAGACACTCACTGTCTTTATACTTCTCCCCTAAGAAGTAATAATAGTTAGTTTAGGATAGAAGATATATTAATAAGATATAGGATACTTTTCTACAAAAGTAGACTTAAGTAAGTGGTTTCATAGTACCTATCGTGAGACATATACTAAATCAACTAAAATCGCGGGTTACTCACGTGAATATACTGAGAAAAACTCTAGATACTAGTTTTGTGAGTAACCCGCGATTTTAATTAATTCGGTTTCATAGTACGTTTTGATTTAATTATAAGACGGAATTTAAGCGCATTTCTGTTCCTTATCACGGGTAACAAGCGACGCAGACTTGTCTATAATAAAAGTTTGATAATTGACGATTACAATTTTGTATCGTAAAGCCACCGTCTGATATTAATTGATGGTTGCGATATGATCACAACTGCATCCTCTGTTAATTTAAAAGAAGTTTTTCATAACATAACATAACATAACA